TTTGTAGCTGTCACTCACAATAAAATAGCTATTCCAACAGGTATGGAAAGCAGTAAAGTTTTGGGGTTTTTTGTTTCCCCTGGACTGAATTCTTTACTTAAGTAATTATGCCAGTGCAGGTACTGCACACAGTTCAATTATTTTAAGACCATGATTGGACTCTGAGGAAATACAAAGTATTTAAAAGTAAGATTCACATTTTTCTAAGGAAACGATTTGTAAATGTTTCAATATTCTAAGAAAAGAGGCAGCTCTGGGACAGTTCCGACCTAAGGCCTTACTTTGCAATCCCTGTGCAGCTCACACAACAAAACAGTTTGGATATCTATATATTTAGGTATGGTGAGGTTGCTACAGCAACGTCATGTACTACGTACAGCTCTCATTGCTTTTTCAGCTGCAGCTGAACTAGTTTCAACACTTAAATAGATTATTATTTATTATTATTAATAATATTGATAGAGTACAAACCCATCTGCATTGGACAACTTGTCTTGTTGCTCAGAATTTATAACAAAGCAGGAACACCTTCCATCTATGCTGTACAGTATCTGCATGCAAGCCCCAACAGATGTGCTGTAAGGATCTATCTATGTCACAGACTCTGATGCTTTTATACCGCAGTACAGTTTCAGTGTGCTCTCATGTTGTAGTTAATGGAGACCTTCCCCTAATGCAAAGCAGCACCCCCGTGAATATTTCTTGAAGTGACAGGGCACACAAAGGGCATGAATCAAAGGCAAAAGAACAATAGTTGAAACAACAGAGACTTGTTAGGAATGGCTGCAGACACACTTTGCTTTGGCTCATTGTTTACTAATAAACAACAATTTTACTACCTTGTCAAAATGTGGCTTTTCTTATCTTGACATATTTTAACTCCTATTATCAAACCCTTAAGATTGAATTTACTTCTACTAAAGATAATGCTAATTCAATTCTCATTAATTTCTAAATGAGTAACTTTAAACTGATGATATTTTCTTTTGCTTCTCTCAGTGTTTGGGCCATTATTATATATCACTGCTCTGTAAACCTCCACAATGATCTCAGAAGTCCTACATACCATCTGGTATGCTCCTCTATCACTGGCATAGTAACAGAACTGTAGCTTAAGTAAAAACAAGCCTAATTTAACAGCTCTAATGTTGCATGTGAAAGCAATTTTGTATATAAATAGATTCTTTTCAAATTTCTGCTACCATTCTTTCAAAAAGTCTCACAAATCAGCCTTCAAAACAATACCAGACAGCAATCTGTCAGTTCTCCAGTAAGCAGGAGCTAACTGGTGTCATTAGCACCTAAAAAAAGAGGTTTTGCCTGCCTTGCTTGCCAAGAATTCACCATAGCTTGTTAATAATACTAATATCTACCAATTACTCAGTCTTTTCAAGTTCAAAGCACTGTAAAAATATGAAATAATCTGCTGCAGCATTTTCTAGGTTCATGTTAATTCCTGTTAACACAATGCTTTTAAAAACTGACATGTTCTGGAGTGTTGAATTTAATCGCCTTCATTTTCACTGTTTTCTTATTTTGAACTTGCTTTCTCTCTCAGGTTCTGGAATTTCCTTATTCTTTTTCCCACCAAGACTGGTGTTCCTGAATGCCTTGAGTCACAAATACAGACTGACCAGAGCATATGACCCCCTTTACACTTCCTTTCTTGTCTCAACTTTTCATCTTTCTTGTCTCAGCTTTTCTAATATTACTCTTTCAGCTTTGCAGCTTCACCGCCCATTTATCTCTACATTTATCATTGCTGTTTTGGCTGTGTCCTCGAAGTCAGTCAAACAATATGACTTGACATCTATCACATGTATAGTTTATTATCCTCTCCTCATGGAAAAAGTGGTCTAAGTCTTGTCTTAAATTTTAGATGCTTCTTAAACTCTTCCTAAACCTTAGATGCTTAGATGTGTTGCTATAAGTTTGTGTGAGACAAGCACATCAGAGGTGCTAACAGCAGTAAAAATGCTTTGCAAAGAAGCTCATCAGCTTTGCGATGGATATCAGGTCCCAGGAAGGAGCTGAATCCACGTGCTAAAGTGAAAGGGTCCTCACGGCCCCTCCATTTTCTTCCTATGCCCCTCACCCAGCTTAACTTCTGATGTACATACAAGGTGCTTTATTCCCATTTTTGGGGTAACTTGCCTTTTAAGTGGGTGGAATTTCAAGTTGGTGGTAACCTGAGTGTAATTTGTCCTGACCCTATTTTCAGACTGACCTGCTGTTTGCATAAAAGCCCTTTTCATATGTCAACAGTGAGCCTAGCCCAGGAACTCCCTCCTCAGAGGATAGCCTCAGGGAATAACCTCAGATGATCCCTGAACTGCACTGTTCTGACACCAACCAGTCTGCAAATCCACCTGTGCCTTGGCATTCAGCTCTGCAGGGGAAATCTGTCTTCTCCTCCATTTACACATTCAGCTGCCACTTATTTGAATTTGGGATTAGCACAATGCAGATTCCAACAACTTTCAGCTCATCTGTTATCCAAATATTAGATTAATATTTGATTTGGAGGCAAGGCGTCTTCACTGCAGATTGATTTGTCAAATGGTTCCTCCAAATTGTTTTGCTCCTGAAAGCTTACCTGCCTTTTCTTGCTCAGGTGGAAACCCTGATGACAAACTCCTGAGGCTGGAGTGAGTGGAGGCACTATTTAGGTGTGTGAGGTGGAAAGGCCTTTTGAAGCCAATACCACTTCTCCCTGGCATTTGCCTGGTGGAAAGGGCAGGAGAACTGTAATCAGGCACAAGTGAGTCAAACCAGCTGCATGTGCTGGATGAATGCCACCTCTGAGCACTGCGATGTATTGTAAAAAGTGCAGTGGCAAAGAGAACATCAACCAATGCTCATGAGAGTCACCTTCAGAAAATCAAAGTTTATCATCATCATCATCATCATCATGATTTAGTAGGAGGTAGCCAAGACCTAGATTTGCTAACTACTGGTGATAGAAACTGATTTTGATACAAAGAAATTTCCAGGTAGATGTAACATATGTACAGGTGGCATTTCTGGATATACCTGGATCACCTCCAGCTTTTAGGATGTAGCCAGTTTGTCAGACAGCACAGCGAGCCCTGCCTCCACGCAGCCTGGAAACAAGTAATGCTGACAAGTGGCACACAACCTTGTACAGCACAGCCACAATCCTTGCTCGGCTGTTTGGGCTGCTGAAATTTAAAAGGCAAATAACATCAACGGTAAAGGAGCTGTCTGTGAGTCCAGCACTACAGGGCTGGCATGACGGATGGGGAAGTGGCTTTTTTTTTGTTGTTGTTTTTTTTTTCTGTCAGCCAGCACAATCGCTGCAAAATGTTTTTAATAGCTGCTGCACCTGGCTCCCCGGTATAATACTTATTCATATCTGCCAGGCCTTGAAACACTTTAGTTGGCTAGTATTTGAAAGGCAGATATGTAAAGGTAGTTTCGGTACCTCTCTGCCGCTTCGATATTTAAGGCCACCATTTCAGCCCTGGCAAGGTTCTCTGTGCAGTGCCAGCTAACCTCAGGGGCCTTTGCCTGTGCAGACCTGGCTGCACGGGCTCTGCCATCATGCTGCATCAGCTGAAATCCAGACTGGCAGCGGGTCCTGACCCAAGACTTCAAAAGGAGATGTTTTTTCCATTCTTCCTGCCAAAGGTACACAATCCTGGAAGCATGTTGAGGAACCTAAGCTGAAAACTGCCCTAAATCCACACTTGGGGGACAGGATGCCATCTAGAGGGATCTGGACAAGCTCAAGAAGTGGGTCCATGGGAATCTCGTAAGGTTCACCAAGATCAAGGGCAAGGTGCTTCACCAGGCCTGGGGCAACCCCTGGTATCAGTACAGGCTGGGGGATGAACAGATCAAGGGCAGCCCTGCTGAGAAGGACTTGGGGGTGCTGGTGGATGAGAGGCTGGGCATGAGCCAGCAATGTGCACTTGATACCAGAAAGACGACTGGATCCTGGGCTGTACCAAAAGCAGCGTGGCCAACAGGTCAAGGGAAGGGATACTCCCCTTCTACTCTGCTCTGGTGAAATCCCACCTGGAGTGCTGCATCCAGCTCTGGGATCCTCAGCACAGGAAGGACATTGACCTGTTGGAGCAAGTCCAGAGGAGCGCCACTAAGATGGCTACAGTGATGGAAGACCTCTCCTGTGAAAAAGGGCTGAGAGAATTGGGTTTGTTCAGCCTGGAGAAGAGAAGGCTTCGGGGTGACCTAATTGTGGCCTTCCAGTAGCTTAAGGGAGCTACAAGAACGATGGAGAGGGACTTTAGTACACACAAGGGCGTGTAGTGACAGGACCAGAGGGAATGGTTTCAAAGTGAAAGAGCGTAGTTTTAAACCAGATATTAGGAAATAATTCTTTACTGTGAGGCTGGTGACACACTGGCACAGGTTGCCCAGAGAAGCTGTGGATGCCCCATCCATGGAAGTGTTCAATGCCAGGATGGATGCCGCTCTGAGCAACCTGGTCTAGTGGAAGGTGTCCCTGCCCACAGCAGAGGGGTTGGAACTACATGATCTTTTAAGGTCCCTTCCAACCCAAAACATCCTATGATTCTATGATCCCGTGCTTTGGGGCTCCAGATCTTTTATTTTAGGTGTGTGTTGTTTGTTTGTTTGTTTTTTTCCCACGGTACCCCACCCAAAGTTTTGGATTTCGGAGCGGGACAGCAGGGTGCGAATACACAACCGTGTGCTATCTATCAAAAGGGCACCCGTGCGGTGCCAGGGGCTGGAAGGAGCAAACCCGCTCTGTCACGGCGGCAGCGGCGAAGCGCCGCGAGGCTGCAAAAACCCAAATCCCCCCCGCCCAAGCGGGACCCGCCAAGTCCACGGCCCCCTCACGGCCCCGCCTCGAGCCGCTCCCCAGAGGAAAAAGGCGCGAAAGCGCACGCGCCCGCGCGCCCCGTCCGCGCGAGGCGATTGGCGGGGCGGGAGCGGCCGCGTCATCGCCGCGCGCCGGCATGCCCGCGCCCCGCTCCTGAGGGGAGCGCGCGGTGCTCCAGCGGCACGGCCCGGCCCGCGCTGCCGCCCTTCCCGCACTCCTCCCGCCGGCCGGGAGACACCTGCCCCGGGCACGGCCGGGCCCCCGCCGCCGCTCCCCACCAGCGCCTCGCCGGGTCGGCCGCTGTGCGCGACAGGTGCGTGCGGGGCCCGCCGGCGGTGCCCGGGCTCCGTGAGGGGAGCAAGGAGGGCGGTGAGTGGGTGGGTGGGTGTGTGGGTGCATCCCCGCTGCCTGACAGCGCCGCTCGCCCCGCGTTTCGGTGGAGCGTTGGGGCCCTCCGGCCAGTCCCCTCACCAGCGTTTTCCTGATCCGTGTCTGATGGGCCCTGCCTTTCTCTCTCTCCCTCTCTCCCTCTCCCTCTCCCTGGGTTTTCCCACAGAGGCTGCCCGGCCAAGCCCGTCTCCTCTCCTGCGGACAAGGAGGAGTAGGTTAAGAATATGAGTCTCTACAATCTGGACCGGTTTCGCTTTGAGAAGAGGAGAGGCGCGGAGCGGGAGTCGCTGTCCCCTTCGGCAGCCCCAGGGGCGGCAGCTGATGCTGCCGTGGCGGGCGGTGCCGCTGGAGGGGAGGAGGATGAAGCTACAGATGACAGCAACAGGCCAGATACCCCGGCTTCGGATGTGACAGAGATAACCGGTGAGTCAGGTGTTTTGCGTGCAGCATCAGAGCAGTGTCAGTACTCAATTCCTAGGAATAAAATAATTGTCTTTTGTTTTCGTGTTTGTCCTTTTTTTTTTTTTCTTTGGCTGTTTTACAAATGTGTTTCTCTGTGCACAGCAATTTCCACTGAAGTATATGCATTTGTAACATTGTTTGCTCTAATTGAACCTGTGCATTTACAGGCAAGTCTTCTGAAATTACTTCTTTTTTTCAAGTGAGTAAATAAGATTCAAATTAAATGTTAAAGTTGTGTTTTCCTATATATTAACTTTCTTTGCTGATACTTATTTTACACTGACATCTCAGGGTTTTCAAAGAAAAAAAAAAAAGCTTTTAGTTGTCTGATAAGTGCAACACCGTAGACTTAACTTTTTCAGTAGAGCCCTTAGCTAAAGCAATGTGGAATATCACAGAAGAAACTGAAAATACAAGGAACCAAACAGTGTTGTTTTCAACTGGGCCTGGTTTTGTAAAGGACTGAGAAAGCTGCTAATGATTCTTACAAGCTGAGTGTAGTAATAGTTTCGTAGTGTGTTCGTCCTCTTTTTGGGCAGAAGCTTGGGGTCTTTGTGGAAATGTGAAAAACTTGCTTGTGGAATTTATTGGTTTCCTTTTGCTTGTGCAGTAGAGGTGTGCTGTTCCCATTGGGATTCGTTGGCTAATCCTAATAAACAACTGAAATGGCTGTTGACTGCATTATCACATTCATCAGCAACTTTTTTGTTACTGAAGGAGTAAGACGGGGAGAACAGACATTGTTTGCTGCTGATTATTTGATGCTTCTTGGACAGTCCATATAACTTCTGATATGGTGGTCAAGATACAAGTTTTATTAGAGAAAGCAGACAGACTCTGACTGTGCATTTACTCAGAAATGGAACAATATTCCTTAACGTTGTTTAACTACATTTGTTTTGCACAGGACTTTCTTGGTGGAAGGCAGCTTATCATAATACCTTATCTATGTGATAACAGAGAGCCTTTCATGTGCAAGGAGAAGTTCCTCTTGTAAAGCTGAGCCAAGTCAGAATTACAGTAGATGGATATTTACCCTTCCATGAATTTTGGTTTTGTGCACGTTGGTTGTTTTCAGTTGACTGGAATGCTCCCATGTTTACATTAGTAAATATTGGTTGGTGTTTTATGTTAAAAAAAAAAAAAAACACATGCAAAATCTCTAAGTCTTGGTTTGAGAGTTGCCAGTCTGGAGTTGAGTTGCCTGTCCACTAGCAAAAGAATGTTTTGGTGACAGGGAGAACTTAACAGAAAAAGCAAGGAACTGTTAGTTCTGGCTTCTGCATGTGTGTGCTTCATAGTGGTTATATGGAAAAATGGGCAGAAGTGCCCTTTGGAACAGGTGTTGTCTTCCTGTTTGTGATAAATCACTGTCTTGTGTAGGAGTTACTGAGTGCGAGGACCCTTCTTGAACTATGAGTGTAGTTGTGAAGTAAGGGATGGTGCTGCTTGTTTTGTGGCTTACTTGTCTTAGAGATTTATTTTATTTTAATATTATATTTCTTCCTTTAATCTGCCTATGGACTTTGTCAGTGTAAGCACGGAGCTAGACCACAGCTGCCAACAAACTTTGGAGCTTGCTGTTTTTCAAAATACTAGTGTCCCTTGGCTTAGATTCAACAGGGGTGGAGGAGAAGGGATGTGATATCCAATTTATGAGTTAAGATGCAAGATAATAAAAGATAAAGGGCAGCCTAAAAGATGAACTGCAGAGTAAGGCTGAGTAGTTGTGAGGGAAACTATAGGAGGTGGTGGTGGCTGACAGTAAAACACAGTAGAGTACAAGTTCAGGCAAAGTTACAGTAAATGTCCTTCTGAAATGAGAGTCCATGGATGCAGATGCTGGAATCAGGGCACTAATTAGCATTTAAAATTGAGATGTAATTAGTAGTGCTTTGCATTTACAAATGCTTCATTTACAGATACCGAATGTTTAAAGAAGATGGAATGGTTTAGTGACTTCTTTCCCATACTTAATATCATTGTTATGTAACCCATTTAAAAGAATTAATAACCATTTTGAAAATAAAAATCACACTTTCTACATTTACAGAAGTTAACCAAAAATAAAACACTCAAATTTTGTCTGCAGGCTGTGAGGCACTTAGTTGTGATAGAGGAGACAAGATTTGATTAGCAGATGACTGTCCTTCTTGTTTCCTAACTAGTGACAGGAAGAGAGACTTTTTCTTGCCTTGGGTCAAATAAAACAGACAGGTTTGTTTGGTTTGTTGTTTGTGTTTTGTTGGTTTTGTTTGTTTTTTGTGGTTTTTGTTTGTTGTTGTTGAATTGTAATGGAAAAGGTACAGACCTGATAAGCTTATGGCTCTATGTGCTCTCTACTGCTAAATACATAAACAAGTCAGACTGTTGAGTTCTTCTGTACAAGAAGCAGTTAACACCAAGTTAACCAAAGATAACTTACCCTAATGCTTAGTGAATCATATGAGGATATCAATTGTATTTCTTCTGCAGCCAAACAAAGTGGATTAACACAGTACTGGTACAAGAAACTGGAGAAACAAGAGCCTCCAGAGTGTTCTCTCTTTCACTTACACAAACAAAAAAACCTGTTAAATAACTGAGGACTTTTTTGTCCTATTTCTTTTGGTATCATGTAGTCGATCTATTGTGTATGTAAAAAGAATTTTAAAATCAGACTTTTTCCTTCAGGAGCACAAATACTTCAGTATAATTTCCTAGGGATTTCTTCAGATTTCTGTTTTGTCTAGTGCCCTGAAATATGCATTTACCAAAGAGATATGGTTGTCTTAATTTCAGTCATCTTCAAAAAAAATAGTCAGGTGATGTCTGTTGTCTTGAAACACTATTATCTTTTTAACTACTTTTTTTTAGTTTTGTTTTCCCAGAACAAACTAATATTGGTAGATTGTTCTGTACCTCAGGTATGTCTGTATGTAATGCTTCTTGTTGGTTTGTATTGAACATACACACCTTATGTGTATGTTTGTGGCACAATGGCCAGAAGAATTGGTCATCTTTGTACAGCTTCTGTGTATTCAAAATAGCACAGGCTTACAAGGTGTAGGCAGTAATCCTGAACACCACGTGACCGAGTGGTAGAAACCAACTGTGGGAACAGTTATCAAATTATATCTGAGAGCCATCTGTAAAGAGTTGGAAAAATGCATTGGAGTGACTTACTACAATTTTCTATACAAATTAACCAAACTGTTCAGTAATACTAATCTTAGTCTGTTAAGAAAACAGTGAAGCATCTTTTTAGTTTTCATTTAGATGTTTTTAATGCAATGTTTTATGCAAATAGTCTGGTGTACTATGATAATGAAATTATTCCAGTTGTAGAAATAGAGCAGAGCTCTGTTAAAACTGCACAAATTAGAATAATTACTGTAGTTATTTTCAAAATGAGATTTGTATTCGAATCTTGAAAAGCATGCCTACAAAGCTTCAACAATTAATTGAAATAAAAGTTGTGGATTAAATTAAACTACAGTATATAATCCTGTTATTGATGGTTGATTTTGTTGATGTCCTCTCCATACTGTTTGAATGTGTCCCAAATGACTGCACTTTGAGGTTATAATGCTGAGAGTTCACTTGCACTGGGACTGCACTTTTTTGTTCTCATCTGTTGTGATTTCCTTTATGGTCTGAGGAAGCCTTGTCTTTTGCCTATGTCTCAGTTCATAGAGTGTAATTCTACTTAAAGTATTTCTGGTAAAATGTGATGACTGCAGTACCTAGTGACCTTTTCTGAGGATTCATGGGAAGATATATTGAATAATTTTAAAGGACATGTTCAAGAAGCACCTTAGAGTAAGACTGCTATTAAGGATTATTTTAGCCTATAAAAAAGGCTTTCCTTTGAAAACGGAGTATTTTTTAGATTGTAAACTTGAGCAGCATATGCTTGATACTACTTTCCAAAACTAGGTGGAAGTTACTTTCCATTGGACAGTGTATGTTGGACAGTGTTAGTAAATGTGGTAAGCTCTAAGTATTACCTCTCTTTTGTTCTTACTAGGGAGAGAAGGAGCTGACTTTCTTGGAGTGTGATCGATGGCTTGAGTAGGAGGTTGTGTTTAGAATTACAGGGCAGTGTATTCTCTTCTTGTGATAGCAAAAATGGGTTGTTGTTGGGATTTGGTTTTGATGTTAATGCCTACATGTAGGGGTACTTCAGTGTGCTCTTATTTCTGGCCTTAGAGTCAAATACCGGTCTTATGATTGCAGACATTCCTTAATAGTTCTTTTTAACTGCCTAGAATCAGAAAATTCTGCCTCCCATAATACATGTTGTGGCAATAACTTTAATCTGTTACTACTTTACAAGGTTATAATTTACTCTAAATATGAAGACTACTTATTACATGGGTGATTTCTGCTTCCCCCCCTTAATAAAGGATTCTGTTCGTGGAGGAGGGAGAGAAGAAAGTACTGGATCTTTTGAGAGCGAGAATACTTTTTTTTTTCCCCAGGACACTCAGCATTTTATAGGTATAGTTAGGAGTTGTCACAAAGACTGGACAATGATTGCTAAATAAAGTAAAAATAAAATGAGAAATCACTGAGTGAAGCAGTAAATATTAGTTTTATTTAAATATAAACCTTTATACTGTAAAGAATAAAATAACTTTTGTAAACCATACCATTTTTGTAAAATTTTCTTGTGTTTTTGTTTTGTTTTAAAGTCCACTAAAGATGCTTCTTAGCAAAGTTGTCACGGGTACCTGTCATTTCCATGTCATACTGCTTGCAGGAGGAATATGTTTGGAATTAAACCTAAACTACAAGGCAAAGATCATGAAAAGTGACTCTATCAATTCTGTTAATTCAGTATAGATGTGAATTTCTCATGCTTCTTGTAGCCCTGTTTTGGTATTTTCATTCACATCTTTTTATGCATCTTGTATTTCTGTCCTGTTGTGATAGCCCTTGCTTTGCTAACCCAACTTTATAACATTCCCAAAGGTCGCTCTTGCTCGTTTCCTGTCTTCATCTAAAAACTTAAATGGTTTTCAGATGAAACAACTCATCAAGGACAACACATCTTCTTCCAAAAATCGAGAGATTTTTGGTACTGCTGAGGAAGCTTCTACTGCCAACATGTTGGTCTTGGATGCAAGGATGTCTGTCTTGGGATGGTGTATTACTGCTTCAGAACTAATAATTTTTAGGCATTCCTGAGTTTACATGTGTATCAGCTTTTCAAGATAAAAAGATTAATTTGCAAAGCGAGACTTTTCCTTCTTCTAAAAATCATTACCATATTCCTCTGTGTTTTGAAAGTGATGGAAAAGCTTTAGATTTTTAGGATAATTCAATTAAAATTGAGGCCTTTTATCACAGATGAAGGAATTAGACACTCTGTAGCTCATTTCTGCATTTAATCATCAATTTAGTCTAACTTCATCTGTGTCTTGTGTCTACTGGCAAATCAGCTTTGAAAACTGATGTTACACCCTGTAGTCATTTGATTCACCGAGTTTCTATATGAGTGAAGGGAGTCAGAAGAAACTACCTTTATTTCCAGCAGAAATTGTGGTTCCAGAGTCAGCAGCACCAGTAGTGTTTGGTTTACTGTCACATGAGTGTTAAGAAAGGATGGGTGTGTTAAGAGGGGGGAGGATGCCTATGGTGCTGTATTTGCATTATGAGGATTTAAGATCCTTCTATATGAGGACTTACACTGACAGTTGTATTATTAAAACACAACTTTGCCAGGAGTTTTTTTTAGCTGGCTCTCCTGCTCCTTATGCTGGATTTTTCCTGTGCATAGCTAAGGTGACCTCCTTGAGGAATCCATTGAATATAGGGAGCTCGGGGTGCAGCTGCACTGAGAGCTCTGGGGCGTAGGAACCCCAGGCAAGAGGCTGTGACCTGCCAACCCTTTGCTTATCAAAGGGCCTGGGGATGTGTGGCACTGGCCAGGTGACTGGACACAGAGGGACACAGCAGAGCCCATGACTCCAGGCTTCCTGGCCCTTAGACTGTGAGGGTATAAAAGCCCAGGATCGGTGTTCCTCTTTGTAGACACCAGTTTGAGCTGTTATGCTGTTATTGCACTGTGATGAAATTATATTAAGGATCTGGATGTCTGAGACTCTGCTATGGGAAAGGTGGTCTGACTGTGAGTGTGAGGTGTGTAGCTGTGAAGGGGCCTCAGTCCCAGCTCAGAGGGTGTGAGAGTGACTGCCAGGGTAGCTCATGGATGGTCCAACAGGGAAGTTTCTTTAACAACCTTAGGTCTTAAGGCTTCAATGATTGCTCTTCTGAATTGGTATTGAACCCTTATTTACCTTTCCTCATAAATACTAAGTTCGAGTTACGTTCACGCCCATCTCTCTAACCACTGTTAAGCTCCATTTTTGTGGAGCTTTAAGTTATTTTCTTCCTTTGAAGTAGTGCACTCTGTAACGTTTGGTATCATATTTCTTTTGGTTCATTGAGTGCCTTTCCCTTACAAAACCTTTTAGATTCTTGTGTCAATAAAATGCTTGTAATTCTAGGATTTATCTTTTTACCCATTCAATGCTGCCACAGTGAGTTATTTTAAATTTATTTTCTGCAAGATTTCTTTCATGCAGAAAATGCTCTCTGTTGTGCTGTTGTGTGCAGCCGTTGTGTTCTCTGCTCCATGCATCAGTCTTTCTCTCATCATTCATATGCCTATGTTTCTATCCATGTCCTGATTATCTTGGAAGTAGTTCAGAGGGATTTGCTCCAGAATAAATATGTATTTATCTGTAGTTATTAACCTAAAATAAGTGTTCTCTTAAACTTTGTGGTATAAAAATTATTTGTTTGATGTAAGAGGGCTGAAGACCCTTTACCAGGTAAGTTATCACTGTAAGGAATACAGCTTACAGGATAAGGATGTGAGTTCTGTTCAAATGACTGGTGTGTCTACAGAAGAAATAACAGCTGATGTTTTAGGTACAAATAAATATTTAAAGTTATAAGTCATTATCTTCTATTTTTTTCTCCTATTGAAATGCCTTGCACAGAGTATCCCACCATCCCAGAAACTCCCGAAGCTCAGAGGACAAAGAAGCAATTCTATTTCAAGCATCAGCGAGGGGTGCAGTTCCTAGACACGTCTTCAGATAGTGAAGATGAAGAACCAAGAAACTTCAGTGCTGCAAAAGAAAACAAGGCTCTGAGGAGAGACGTGGCCGTAATGTACGCTTTAAACCAGACTTCTGTTGTGCAACCTGATGTGACGTTCTAAGTTGAAATACAGAACCGAAAATCAGTGGGTAGCTTAGGTTCTGGTTTACTCCTTTGTGATTTACCTGCCTCTAACTAAACCCTACTGGATTTTCAAGGAACAAATATCTAGCTAAGACATTTTCTCAGAGGGAGGAGTTCTGTAATACTGAATGATGAGTGTGATGTTTCTGCATTTATAAGTTTATACATTTACACCTCTGCAGTCCTCTTAACTTGAGAGCTTAACTATAAAATATTTACTTTATTAATTTTAAACTGTTGGAGTTGATTTTAGCTTCTTCCTTTTTTTTTTTTTTTTTTTTTTTTAATGAAACTGATGGGACAGGAAAACCAGTAGAGCTTTGATACGTAGTATCAGTTCCTGAGGTAAATTTAAGTATTAGTTGCATATTGTGTTTACTGTGCTTAGTGAAAGGATTTTTTGTAAGTGATTTGGAAATTTATATTTCTTAGTGTTCTGAGAGGGAAGAGTCACTGTGCAGGAGTCACTTGAGTGTGTGCTGAAAAGGCAGCAAGGAGAGGGCAGGTGAGACAAGATGCAGACAGATACCTGCAACCATTTGGAATGGTTTAAAGAAACCCCTGCTAGTTACCTGTCTGTGTGGGAATTGCCTGTGCACCTTAAATGTTCTAGTGCCAAGCAAAACAAGATGACTTAACCTGCATTTTTGATAGTCTGGTTCAACTAATCTGTAGAAAACTTTTATGGGAATCACAGCCTTAACAGGTGTAGTCTCTTGTCAGATTTTCAGTCCTATACAGAGCACGGAGCTACTGAGACATGTTAGCAGAAATGAAATAATGCCTTTTCCTGCTTCTACTGTCTGAAATTCTTTGTTTTTTCTGATTTTCTTTTTAATGCATCTTCCCTGAAGTTTCAACTTAGGGCAGCTGCTTGAGAAGGAGAAAAAAAGTAGTTAGCGGAGTGAACTGCTGTTTCTCTCTGTGGTTGAAGTGGTAGGTTGTGCAAGGATGCAGATATGGCCAGCTGGTTGCATGCAGCACATTGGCTTGTGTGCAGTGCTGTGTAAATATAGTTGCACTGCTCCTGGGATCAAGCCCATCTGGGAGCAAGACGAGTGGTTTCGTACCATGTGGAGCCAATGCTGATAAGCTTTGCAGGATCCAACTTGCAGAGCCACAGCTTGCTATTCCTACTTTGTATTGCAATTGCTGGGAGTAAGAGAGAGAGACAGCCAAGTGACTCCTAGCGGGATTGATGAACATAAAGCTTTGTCCTCTTCTAGTCCTCAGTATTCCTGTGTATCCACCAGTCTCTTCTGCACCAGGCACCCCAGTGTCCAACCCTTTGTCTCCGTGTGTTGTCTCAGATGCTAATTGATGTGTATGGAACCCACTAACTTGTCTCACCAATGACTGTTCTGATTGATTTAGCAGACAAAGTGAGAGTGTGGCACGAGTTAGCTTCTATCTGCCCAGGCTTAGGAGCTCTGGCTTGTGCTGAATTTAGCCTGGTTTTGCACATAATTGGTCATTTGAGTGTCTTTGCATTGTGCATTTTAGTGCATGTGCTACCCGGTGTTTGGGAGATTTGTGGTTTGTTTTTGTGGAGTATCCCAGCTTCCCTCATTCTGAACAAGGACTAGAACAGAAAACAGAAAGTTTGTCTTTCCTAGAAGGAAGTGTACTGCAAGCTTTTTGCCAGAGTCACTGTCTGGACTCTGTTGAATTCAAAGCAGAACTCTAACACAAGGTTTTGTGGGTCTGAGTTGTTTAGCAATTAAATGAGTGTTTCTTCATGCTTGATAAGAATGTGACTGTACAGAGAGGATGAGATTTTTGATGTGTGCAACCCTGGCTTTGTTGACAAATATCGAGATGTTATTCCCTAATAGGAATGGATAGGATAATTGCAGTGATAGTATTTTCATCAATCATTGGATTGATTTTTTTTTAATGCATTTTTTAAAGGAATCTTCTTCCCTATCAATGCAAAAAGATGAGAAATATGCAAAAAGAAGTTTAATATGATATTTCATTAAGACATTTTTAAAGTGGAAGTGGGATTCACCTTTTGAGGCTTACTGTTTGATGCTTGGTGGGCTGAAGAAGAATTTGGGTTATTTCTTATTATTTTCTTACTCTTAAGAGGCACAGCAGAGAGCCCATGCAGCTGTCCATGCCTTTGGAATGGGGAGAAAGGGATTCTATGATGAACAGTTCTCTGTGTGTCTGTTATGTGAGTGGCACGTTACTATTTTTTCCAGAATTGTGTTGCAATCTGCCTGTTGCAACTGCTTAAGAAAGATAGGGTGAGAAAAAGCAGGTTTATTTTTAGTCTTCTACTGTGTAGAGACACCTGCAGGCAAACCTTTCTGATGGTGAAATCCTTATGAAGTGGCCAACTCCATATAGTTCAATTAATTTTCATTGCAAAAGGAGATTCTTATGTGTCTATGGAAAGATGTAGGATGGGAGACCTGTGCTTCTGTTCATTCTCATCTGTACAACTGCATATTGTTAAAGATACATAGGATTGCTTTTCCTGCAGGTTAGCTCTCACAATAAATCTTCCAGTAAATTCTGTTGGGTTGTGGTTTTGTTTTGTTTGTTTGATGTTTTTTGTTTGTTTGTTTGGGTTTTTGTGGGTTTTTGGTTGGGTTTTTTTGTGGGGTTTTGTGTGGTTTTTTTTTTGTTTGGTTGGTTGGGTTTTTGTGGTTTTTTTTTTTTTTGTTTTGGTTTTGGTTTTGGTTGGTTTTTTGGGTTTTTTTGGTTTTTGTTTTTTCAGAAAGGCTCTTGCCATGTTTATATGTTTAAGATGCTGCATAAGGATCTTTTGAATTTTCTTTCTCAGTGAGCTGAGAACTAGAACAGAGTTGATGCTGCATCTGGAAAGTATTTGCAAAGATCTTAATCCATATCTGTTTATCTGTTGGGCAAATAAACAGTAGCAAGACTTTGAGACAAAATTGAGGTAGACTGATGTAATTCAGGTAGCTGAAATGATGAAATATATTAAGGTAATTGTTGCTAAATTGGCAAGTAACCTTTTATAGCACAGTATTAGGGTAAGTCATGGTATTTGCCTCATCTGTTCCTCCTTTCTTCTTCCCTTTGCTAAGTTGAAGTGTGTTTAATGCAAACAGAAGACCATACTTAATACATGCCTTATTTGTCCTGAATGGAGATACCACTTTGGGTACAAGTTGATTCATTGTTACTGAATGCATTTAAACACATTTTGTGCAATCTGTTGGTTTTAGCTTACAGTAATGTTCTGGTAGGGTAAAACATTCATAATCAAAAATAAATTTTAATTCTTTATTTTCTTCCCCTGTACATTGTAGCTCTGATCAGTCTGATGATGATGAAGAGTCTGAAGATGAACTGCCTAAGATGGCATTTGTAAATGGTGGAGATCAGCAGCCAGCTATGAAGAAGGATGTAGAGGAAGACATCAGAGACTCGAAGCTGCAAACATTGAAGGAACTTTTTCCCCAAAGAAGTGACCAAGAATTACTAAAAGTAATAATACTCAGTTCTTTGAGTTATTTTGACTGTTTCATAAGCCGTATTCTTAAGGCTCTGGCTTTATTACAGGGAACAGCCTTGTGGTGGGCTGACCCTGTCTGGATACCAGGTGTCCACCAAAGCTGCTCTGTCACTCTTTTCCTCAACTGGACAGTGGAGAGAATAGAGTGAAAGGCTCATGGGTCAAGATGTGGACAGGGAGAGATCACTCACTGTTCTGGGCAAAACAGACTCAACTTGTGGAAAATTAATTTATTACCAATCAGATCAGACTAGGATAATAGAAATAAACCTTAAAATGCCTTCCTCCCATTCCTCCCTTATTCCTGGGTTTAACTTTATTGCCGATTTTCCCCCACACAGGGGAGCAGAGCACAGGGACTGCCATCACTTCATCACATGTCTCTAGTGCTCCTTCCTCCTCAGCAGGGGGACACCTCACATTCTTCCCCTGCTCGGGTGTGGGTCCCTCTCCACAGGGTACAGGCCTTCAGCCACAGACTGTTCCAATGTGGGTCCCTTCCACAGGGTCACAAGTCCTGCTAGCAGACCTGCTCTGGCATGGGCTCCTCTCTCTGTGGCTCCACAGGTCCTGCCAGGAGCCAGCTTCCAGCATGGGCATCCCATGGGGTCACAGCTTCCTTCTGGCATCCACCTGCTCTGGTGTGGGGTCTTCCACTGACTGCAGGTGGATCTCTGCTCCACCATGGACCTTGATGGGCTGCAGGGGCACAGCTGCCTCACCATGGTCTGCACCACTGGCTGCAGAGGAATCTGCTCTGGTGCCTGGAGCACATCCTCCCCCTCCTTCACAGACCTTGGTGCCTGCAGGGCTGTTTCTCTCATTGATTCTCCCTCCTCTCCTGGTACATGTGTCCCTCTGTGCTCCCCCCCAACCCCTTCCTCTGTTATCCAGAGGTGCTGCCACTGTCGCTGATGGACTTGACCAGTGGTGGGTCTGTCTTGGGGCCAACTGGCATTGGCTCTGTCGGACATGGGGGCAGCTTCTGGCAGCTCCTCATGGAAGAAGACACCCCTATAGCTGCTCTGCTATAAAACCTTGCCACTCAAACACAGTACAAGTCTTAATTGTTGTTTTGTTGAAATCAATAGAGTGTATAAAAGTAACATATTTTAAGGGAAGTACAGCCATGTAATGCTTCCATATACATGTGAATGCGTACATGGGCACTTAGATATGTAAAAAAGTAGAATATATACCCAGACACTTTATATAAATAACTTTGGGTAAGTTCAACAACAGTTGATTCTTTCAGTGTATAGGATATTTTTCTATTATTTCTTTATGTTGTGGCATTTAAGCTTAATTATAGCTGGTTTTGTTGATAACTATTGGTAACTGCCATTGCCCAAGTGCAGCTAACTGATTAAAGGCAGAATGAGTGGAATCATTTCCATCTTCTCCAGCAGACAAAACATTGCACCCCTGCATTTATGACATTTAACATGCAAAGACTTTAGTACTTCCAGTGAGGGGTAAAAGCATAAGTTTCAGCTTACTATCATTTATTCTGATTATGCTGACATGTGAATGTGAGGTACTCTTGACCATTGTCCAATGTACAGCACAAACCTACTGGAACACTGTGGTAATTCATTACAGTAAATTACCCTCCGTACAGTAAAATGTATTTTTAGCAAGGCTACTTTTCAGTACTGATCTGTAACTAGGTTTTCACTAGCTTAGTTTTCAAAGCTAAACGTGTTTCAATTAATCTGTTAAGTTTCCTGGTTGTTGAAATGGCATTAAAGAAACACAGATATTTTCCTGGTGTTCCTTTCTGAGTGTTTTGTTTCCCAGTAGATCAAGCAGTATGTTTAGGCTCCCTTTACTTTAGGAAAGGGTTGCAAGTAGCAGTTTTGGAATTTTTCTCCTGAACATTGCAATAAAATTTTTATTGTTTGTGTATTTTTTCAGTTTTTGGCTATGTAGAATTACTTGAACCAGAGACAGATGACAGTTTGTTGTCACTTAAGAACTAGCTAGAAATGATATGCGGCCTGTCTGACTGCTGCTTTGTGACTTGGCTGCTGGGCAGTATGTAGTACTGGTGGTGTTTGTTTTCAGGAGAATGTGAGATAGATCCTGTATCAGCAGGACTTAGTAGGAAATTGAGGCTGTGCAAGTTTTCGTCCACAGTTACATAGTTGCAGTATTTTTGAAGGAGGACAGAGGCATATCAGGCAAATCTATTGATCTAGAGGATCTAGATCTAAAGGATCTAGAACAGTCTGTCGTGATTAAACCTTGCAAACCTGACAAACTGTTGAAGGCTACTAAGGAAAAATCGTGAGCCTTTTGAAAAGGAAATTGTATGTTTACAGCAAAATTGTAAGATGCTGTTTCCAAACGTTGACAGATACTTGGGCATCAGGATTCCTTGTAACTTCATTTTTTTGTGGATTTTTTTGTATCCGAAACCTTTAGGCCATTTGCTTTTGTTGTAGTTATCTCACTTGCAAAAAGCATTCTAAAAGTATCGATGTAGAATTTGTAAACAAGATCTATTGAAATTATATGTGGATGGAGAAAGAATCTAGGACTGCAGGGAAGTATAGACAAACTTTGAGGCATGTTTAGAAGTTTCATGCATGTTACTTACAGGAAATAGAGCAGTGTGACATAACAATATACAGACATTTTGTGAGTTAATAAATTAGTTTTTTGTTTCATCTTGTTTTATGATAATAGCACTGAATAGACATTGAAAAAAATGCTTTTTAAGTAAACCTGCAGGTATGTTTGTGAAGTAGGGAAAAAGTGATAATAAGATTGTATTTAAAATGCTTTCCAGTATGTGTTTTAAACTGTTTCCAAACACAGCTTATGTGGTACCTATTGATTTTGATCTTGGATTTCATAGTACATGTGTATTTGGGGTGGCTTTTTTAAAGTGTATTTCATTCACGCTGATCCAGCAGTGTCTTCCTCTGTTCAACTGGATTCAATTTCTCCACTTAGCAGTTGACTTTTTTGTTTTGCAGTTGATAGACTCGTCAAGCACAATGGAAGAAGCAGTAGCTGCTGGTTTGAAGCTCAATGACAAAGGTATGTTTAACAAAACAAACAAACAAACAAAAACCGCAAATGAAAACAAAACCTAAAGTTCAGAAGCTGTAGCTAATTTTGTGAACTTGATTGGAAGGTGTTTTAAAAGTGGCGAATTATGTGCTAAAAGTTACACTGTTTATTCTAATAACCCAAATTGAAGTTACAGGCTTTGCAAGGGAAAGATGGGAAGAGGATGTCGACCAAAATCCATAGATAAGGCAATAAAGGAGAATCTGTTGTGTGAAGCTCAGGATTGCTTCATATATATGGATCCTTAAGTGATTTCTGTTCTTGCTGATTCCTTCTTTGCCCAGAACTTGAGGCAAATAGTTATGGGTTAGCAGCAGTAATTCTGAATGTTGTAGGTGAGAAATCTGATAGTATGGAAAAAACATACTGTAGTATATATATCTATTCATAACTAGATCTTTTTTTATCAAGGCCTGTCACAGTTTTCTGTTCAGGTTGATTTCAAGACTTGCTTGTAATTCTGAATAAGAACTGTTAGCCCTGAACATTAGACAGATCCTCAGGGTTCTCTAGCAAAATGTCACCCAAAGCATGCTTTTGAACCCTCAGAGCTTATTTAAGGGTGTTTGTTCTGCACCTGAATTTATACAGTCTCATACTGATATCAAGACAAAACACCCAGCACATGGTGTGGGAGCGTTGAAAGTGTTAGAAGTGGTAAAGGGCCATAATTCTTCATTTGTTTCTTGACATCACCCAAGTCCAGAATTAAATCTTTTTTGTCTTATACTAATCTTTTTGACTGATTTGTTGGAACTGGTGGGGAAGAGTGGAAGATTGATATGAATTCTGATGTCATTATAAAAAGCTAGACCACCATCTGTTTACAGTTTGATTTTCCATGGTTTTCCTGAGAGATCTTCATGGATACAAAGGAAAAAGCTATTTTTGATCACTCTTGATTATTTTAGTTTTTCTGAGTGGTTCATGTGTCTTCATGCAGTATCCTATGGATTTGGAGGCTGAGGAAGAACACCTTTACTGCCTTTTTAAAGTACAAAAGTTTTTGCTTATTCTGTTCCCCCTGTCGTCCTTGCTGTATTTTCATCTTCTGATTTTTCTGTACAAATTCAAAGATTTTTAACCATTATCAGAAAGCTTTAAGAACATTCAGGATAATTTTAGTGAAGGTTGCTTTTGTGTTTATGTTGTTTGATGGATTTTTTTTTTAACCCAACCAGACCAACGTTTGGGGTTATCAATGTGTGCATGGCCAGATTCTATAGATTGAATTTCTTGTATGCTGGTATATTTTTGAGAAGCACACTACTTCTGAGTACTTCTGTTCCTGGAAAATCCCTTCCTGGAAGACTGATTACTTTTCAAGAGTTTCGATTAATATTAAACCAATTTAGGCTAATACATGTCCTTAAACTTTGTCGCAGTCCACAGTGTTTGAACTAAAACACTTTGATTTCTGGTATGTAGGCCTTGCCTTTTGGCCATGTTTTGTTGATCTAAGAATGTTGTTTCACATCCTTTCAATATGAGCCCACAGAAAAATCTTGGCAGCAAAATTCTCACTAATCACAGCTGTTGTATAAAATATTTAGTTAGGAGTAAGAATGCCTGAATGTGATAGTATAAATCACCTCACTTTGGACACATTTTTTAAAAAATGGAGACATTACTGAACATCTGCTTATTTATGTCAATTTATGGTACACTTTGCTTGTTGTGAAATGTTGACTGTGTGAGAGGTCAGGGTGAGATGCCGTCTTGTGAAGCATGGCTTTGCTAAAAAAGTGTGACCAAGACATCCTTGAATTTTTCTGTCCTTTCAAAAAGACAAAAACTTGTATTTATAGCTTGGATTCAATATTTATAACTAAAACAAGAAGCATGACAGACTTTTTACAGGTATGAAGATTAGATGTGACACACTGAAAATCTGTGTGAAGAAAGATATGAAGCTGTAGTATTACCCGCTGTTGTGATTTTTTTCTCATGGTGTCTTCTGTACACCTTGAAAACCATGAAATCAGTGAGGGTGCTTCTGAGCTGAAACCTCATGTTAATCTGTCTGTCTGATGTTCACTGTTTCTTGAGCAGTCAGAAGTGTAGTAGCAGAGGAAGTCACAGAAATAAAGATTTATATTTTTTTTTTTTGTAGAGGTAGCAGTAAATACCAGTGTAAGTAATTAGAAATGCTTCTCTAAAATTTGCTTTTCTCATTGCTCAATAGTTATAAAATTTATGGAAAGAACAAAGATTCCTCTGGAATCTTTGGAAGGCCTGGTGTGCCCTGTCTCCACTCCAAAGATGGTTCCCATCTAGCAGTAGAAGAGTTTCCTCATCCCCTCAGCTGTATGCTTCCTTAGCACAGAAAGGAATAATTAGGTCTACTTCACAAAGTAAATGTCTAAAGAAAGTTGGCATTTTTGTCATTTGCAAACAGGTTTCAAAAGACCACAAGTTATTTTAAAACAATTCTGTGTGTTGATGGGTTCCTGAGACCATGGTTATCCAGATCCTTTGTTGTGGTTTAATTGCCCTCTAAAATTACTCACAACAAGGCTTTCTTCAAATACTATTGAGTGTTCAGCGCATGACCTAAGAGCAGGAAAGTCTTTGAAATACTCTTATATAAAGCCCTTGTATTTTTTTTTAAGGGCAAAGAGGTTTGCAGGCTCACTGGTTGTATTCAGAATTGTCTATCCTGAATGCAGTTTTAATTAAGCATAAGCAGTAATAACATGAGACCTCCAATGGCTTCCAGTGCTTGACCCAACAGCAGCCTGACAGGTCTTAGCTTTGCTGTCAAGAACATCACAGATTTCTCAGACTTAAACTAGAAGCATATCTTCTCCTGGTGATATTGTTTAAATTAGGTCTTGGACAGAAAGGTCAAGGTCTGAATGGTGAAGGAGACCCACCTGGCATGTTCTCTGGATGCTTTCTTTGAATTGCCTCTTGTATATGTTGCATCCTTCCGTACCTGAAGGGAATGTACAGGAAAGACAGAGGGGGACTTCTGACAAGAGAATGTAGTGATGGGACAAGGGAGAATGGCTTTAAGCTGAAAGAGAGTAGGTTTAGCTTAGATGTTAAAAAGAAATGCCATATTGTCAGGATGGTGAGGCACTGGAACAGACTGCCCAGAGAAGCTGTGGATGCCCCATCCCTGGAAGTATTCAAGACCAGACTGGATGGAGCTCTGAGAAATCTGGTCTAGTGGAAAGGTGTCCCTGCCCATGGCAGAAGGGTTAGAACTAGATGGTCTTTAAGCTCCCTTCCAACCCAAACCATTCTATGATTCCATGATATTTTTACCTACGTATATAAATACAGAGAGTTTTGAAGAAAAATTGTAGTGTTTTCTGCTATCTCTTGCTAGATCCTTTAAGGAAGAATTGCTTATAGTTTTCTGCCTGTGGGATGTTTAAATGATTTATGTTTTAAATATTTGTATGTCACATCTCTGATGTTGGAGTGAATGAGTTCAGCAGAAAATGTCTTTGAAAGTATTTCTACACAAAATATCTTCTAGTGTAAAGATATGGCTACTTAATTTTCCAAACTAAAACTATTTTCATCATCCAGACAGACAGTCTCTTGGTCTGGGAAAACAAGTGTGCTTTTTGTGTGTGCACATGTGCTTGTTCACTGGTCTCCTGTGGCAGACTGGGAGGGGAGGTTGGCCTGAGATGCTGATATCAAGACATGAAAGCTCTGCAGGCAGCTACTCTTCCAAAAAATGTTTAACTCTCAGTACAATTTCAGATCATGGACTAGGAATTTTTACTGATTTGTTCTGATAATGCTACTTCAAGCAAAGGTGTTGTGCAGCAACAGTGGTAACGTGTTTGTACCTTTGTGAGCTGTGCACAGTCTGAAAATGCACCTGGCTGGGCAGGTCTCATTGCTGAGATGATAATCTCTTGATAATCACCAGGCCCCAAAGATATTCAGAAAATTATGGCTCATATGGATGTATTCATAAGTAATAAGGTTATCGCAGACTTGATATGCATAATTTTCTTTCAGACATCTGGATTTAATGTTAACAAGTGTTTGGTAACCTCTTTGGTGTGCACCTGAGCCAGAAATCAGTCATCAGCACTTCAAAATTGTCAGTGATGTACATATTCCAACCCACAGATGGGATTCAGCCTGGATTAAATACATGCTTGAATAAAATCAGACAGATATACCTTTACGCAACTTATGTGCAGAAACATGTGGCAAATATAAAAACCAGTATAATAAAATGCTATTTCAGTTGTTATATATATGAGAGGCAACTGCTTGATTAATTGCCAAACCACTAAAGAAAACTTACAGGTAAATAAACATGTACTTTCAAGCAGCTGCTTTGCTTCAAGTTTCAGTGTATCTGTGGGCTATAGTAGGAAACTTATCATGGAGATTGATAAACACATAGTGCAGGTCATTAATAGCTACTGCAGTGTAGGTGCTTGATAATTATCCTACTGTTTTGGGGTGAATGTAGTGAAAATAATTAATTCTTGTTTCCTGTCTCAATTCTTTTTGAAGCTGCCTCTGGTAAAAGGAAAGTAAGAGATTCTCCCACAAATTACAAAACCAGGAAGGAGCAAGTTGCAAAGAAGTCCAAAGCTAGTTATGTAAGTACTGTGGTTTTTTTCTCTCTGTTCATTGTAAAATAAATGGAACTACCTGACTTGGTCTGTCTCTTACCAGAAAATCCAGTCCAATTCAGATCTTGCCATCTGAATGAGGTTTTTCTACTTCCTTATTCTTGCCAGTCTTAGTGGGTTTACCTGCTTTGTTCCTTAGTGCTGGTGGACTTGTATCACAGTACTTATTTCCCTGCTTCAGTGGAAGTGTTTGATGGCAGATAGCAGTATGTGAGGTACTGAGTACCATTCAGTTTTTGCTGATGTTAGTGGGAATTACAGGATATGGATCACTTTGACTCGTCGGGTCATTCCTTATGTTTCCTCAAACAGATGAAGTTAATATCTGTTGCTACTGTTACTCTCTGTAACAGTAGAGGAATAGTAGAGGAAATGTTGCTTATATTTGAAACTATGACTTAAGGAAATCTTTAAAAATAGTGATTACCTTGAAAGGAATGATTACTTTGACTTCTGCTAATAAATAGGAACTGTGTCGTGATCCTGGTGCATTCAGGTTGGTATTTGGCAGATTTGCACAGTCCTACAGTGCTGTCCTGAGGCCATCTCCCAGGCATCCCAATAGACATCCTTGAAAAACATTTATGGTAGATAAAGGGCATTCCACAGTTAATACTGGAGGCTGGTTGGTGGAGAGTGACTGGTTTTGTGTTGAAATTTAGGCTAATATTGTCCTCAGTCAGAACCAAATAAAGAAAATGCAGTTTTCCATTAAAGCAAAAATAATATTACATGTATAGTCCCCTTCTTCCAGAAAGAGAGAGATGAGTTGGGTTTTTTCCTCCTCACCAAACCCCTGGGTTAGGTTATAAAAGGAGAATTTACTGAATTGTTACTCAAGCAACCTAGCAAACAATGCTTCACTGGACATGGTTTCATGCAGCAGTTTGATTTCTGTTCTTAACAGTTTTATGACAATTAAAAGGGGAAGGATTGGAAAAAACAAATCTGGAACATGGGGTTTTAGAACTCGTTATAGAGAACTATAGTGAGACAACTTTCAGGATATTTTTCCTTTCTCTTGCTTTTGCCTCTAGTTCCTAAGACTAGAGCATACTTGACCAGCTTTGTATGGACTGTAACTGCACTCTTAATGGCATTGTAGACTCACTGAGGAAAGGACTAATGTAGGCTCACTGAGGAAAGGAATAATGTCCTCTCTTACTCAGAGTGTTTCTGGGTGATCTGGTCTGTGCTCTTTCAGCAAATAGCACCATTCAGCAAAGTAAATATTGATCAAACCTGTTGGTATCTCTGCTCTAGATGAGTAGATCTGTAACCACTTTGCATTCAAAGCTCTATGAAGAAACTTGTGTAGTTCTTCGTGGTGAATACAAAATGGAGCAGCTTATGGCATGTGGAAGTTTTGGCACTTGTTTGTAAGAAACCCCCCATTTTGCAGGCTGGTAGTAGCTGTTAGTGAAGCTATTGTTGATGAAAACTTTTGCCAGCTTTTGAGGTGACTTCATGATGCTATGGCATAATATTTGTGGATTTTTTTACCCATGAATCTCACTATAAACACACCATTTGACATGTTTGTAGGCTTTCATGTGTTAAATACTGCATGCTTGGTAATCTAATCTGTCAACCTTGCCATCTTCTGCTTTAAATATCATCCAGAATTACGAATGACTTTTGTTTTTAAAGAAAAACAAACTAGATAGTTCTAAATTATTTACATTTTTGTGTATAACTTGCACTGTGTATGCTTATCAAGTAGAGTACCAGTTCTTCATGACTGAAGGCAGTTTCTAGACGTATGAAGTTTTTTGGTCTTTTTTGATCATTAACTAGGTATGAGGAGTCACTTCAACTTAAATTCATCTTAACTCCTTTTGTCATTTAGAGCACCTCTTTAAGGATAGGCAATATTGATTAGGTTTTCTTGTGTTTCTATACTTGTAATTTATATTCAGCCTAACAGATTTCTTTTTTTAACATAGCTTGATGACTCAGAACCCCAAAGACAATGGGAGAGGCAAGAGATGCTTGTGAAGAGGCTTCAAAAGATATTCCCTGGATTGGATAAGGAGGTGAGCTCCTGTTCCCTGATGGCATGTCAGGTTTTGACTTTTTAAGAAAATTGCAGCTGTTGATAGGCCTAATGAAACAGTTCTTACACCAGCAGCACTCTTGCAAAGAGCCCAGGGTAGGAAAGCCTTTGCTGCTTTTGGAATGTAACATGTCCTCAACTGAGAGCAGTTGCATGTGGTTGGGACTATATGGAACTTCTTATCCTTCTTTTCTGGCCCTGTGACAACCTGGTGTAGTTAAATTTGATGACCTTTTATAAGTATGCATGGGGAAATTATCCCTCCCTCTGGCACACATTCTTCCCACCCCCACCCCCGGGACCATTAGATACATTGTGCACTTTATATTACTTTAATACCTGATAACCAGCAACTGATGGAGGCCCTTCAATACTGTGCTTTAAATTGTTGGAAGCAAAGCTTGTTTGTGTATTCTTACACTTTTCGAAAGTGGAGTGCAGCTCTGCCTACACTGAGTGTGTAAGGAGAAACTGAGGGGTTTTCTGCTTTGCATTTCCTTTATTTTGAATCATGTGACTTGCAGGGTTTTTCTTTGCCTTAATGTTATTAGGCACAGAAATTTAGCTTGTGCTTATGTCACCACAATACAGAATGTCTTGTTTTTTTTACTAGGAAATAAGAGAAGTACTTGAGGAACATAACTGGGTGTATGATGAAGCACTGGAGGCCCTGACAATATTTGCAGATGATGAGGGTAAAGACAGATTTATAATCCATTTTATTCCAAGACAAAACAGACTTGTGATGCAAATATTTTCTAATGTCCAGCGATGACAGTCCTGACAGCACCATGCCTGGAAACTTGCACTTATACTTGAAATTAGTATTATGGGCAGGATAGGAGAAGGAAACTCAATTTTTCTGTATTTTCATCTTTTACTCTGTAAGTAGAGATAAATATCTTTGCCCTGCTAATACAGATATTCATAAAAAGTTGTGATTACCTATGGGTATGTCTTAAAAAATGTATTTTGAAATGTGTCAAAGCTGACACCTGCCCCCTTCCTGCTTGTTTAAAAATAAGTTTGTTTTTTAACTGGAATAATTTGTAAATTACTGATTTCTGAACCAGTAACTGCAGATAACTGCATAGGTGGCAAGTGACATGCCATTTTGTCCTTTTAAAATATATTCTGGGAGAGAAAAATACTGGAAATAGGCCTTAAATTATACAACTCATTTGTAAATACCACTACTTTAGATGTGGCAGGGAGCAAAAACAGTCATTCCAAGTAAATCTGCAAGTTAGAACTTAAATACTATTAATGAGTTGAGTGCATTTCAGTGTGTAAGACAGCTGTCAGACATGCATGTGTTTTGCTGTATCAGCTATTTAAGTGTAGTTGGGGTAGGGCATTGTTCTTATTTGGAAGTGGAGAGAGCTGTCAGTGTGCATGAAGTTGTCTCCTTACTGCTGCTTCTGAAGAGGTAGACATCAGGGTTGGAATCAACCAGCAGCAAGCTGGGATTGGGCAGACAAACTTCAACTGCTCTCTTCCCATGAGGGGAAAAAAACCCCCCACAAATCACTTCTGAAAACTACTTGCTCATGTTCAGTTAAATAACTTCTGTCTTATTTTAACACAGTAGGGTTATTTGGTCGGCAATACCTCGTTCTTTGAGTTTCCTTAACAAGTGTATGTTTTCATTGTCCCACCTCTAATACTGTACTACAATGCATTAAAATTTAAAAAATATATAATTTTCATCATGAAAGAAGGCTTGTTTTGTCAAATCAACAGAATTAATATCTCTGCAGTTGTGTGCAGTGTGACCAGTATCTTACCCTTGTGATACATCAGAGTTCTTAACTGTTTGCTCTTACTTCTGAAGCTCACAAATATTATACAACATTGATCATCTGTATTTTAAGATAGTTGCTTAAAACCTTCTGCTATTTGAGCATTATACAAATGAGTATTGCTTATACTCACAGTTGGATCTACTGACGTGTTTTATACAGACTTGCATTTTTTATAAAGACTTGCTTTTCTTTTCTCTCAGTAACACCTCCTGTTGAGTTCTTGTGTATGAAATACTAGAATTGTGTCTTATAGGTTTCATATCGGAAGAACAGTGTGGGTTTTCATTCTCCCTTAACCAGTATGCATTGACTTGTTGCCTTCCATATTGCATGCACAGAAATGGGATTTTCTCCCAGAAGAAAAACTTCTAACTTGACCAAAGCCTCCACCAAGAGCACAAGTGATGAGAGCAAAGAGAAGACAAAGCAGAAACCTGAGAAAGAGCAGAATGGCTTTCAGAAAAAGGCCAAAACCAAAAGGAGCATTTGGAATATTACAAGAGAAACACAAGGCTCAGAGGACGAGTCAGCTTCCGAAGACGGTGGTAGCTCCCTCGACGAGGACTATGGTGGTGCTGATGAAGTGATGGAAGATGGCTACAAAGTGAAAATCCTCAGCTTCCTGCAGGATGCTTCCCCGGGTGAACTGACTTTGATCCCCCAGTGTTCTCAGAAAAAGGCTCAGAAGATAATCGCGCTCCGGCCCTTTAACACCTGGGAGGCTCTGGTAGGTCTGCATTCTTCTTTCCCTATCCCCAGCCTGCCTAGAGTCAAGGTGGCTTCAGCCTAGGGAGGCTTAGATGGGTGGCCTTATCCTGATTAGGCTAAAATGCTGTGTTCCTCCTAAGCCAATAGCATTTCAAATAGTGTCATATGACCTGATTTTGAATGAATTAAGGGGTGATTTTTGTGGAAAACTCAAGCTGATTGGCTGACATTACTGTCACTCACTCTGTAGCATAGAAAGTTGGTTGATTTCACTGCAGAAGAAGAAATTAGAGCTTTCACTTGGGAAGGAGTGTGTTTGCTAGCCTGTTCTGAGCTCTTGTGGCTGAAAACCGATGCAGGAGGGAAGAACGTGGCAGGACCTTTACTGCAGGCACTTGTATTGCAGCAGCAGCTTCCAGAGTAGCTCCATGACTGAAGGAGCCAGCATGGATATTTTCAGTTTCATGCAAGGATGGTCGCTCTCTTTTTCTTTTTTTTTTGTTTGTATTTGTTTTTTTTTTATAACCTACTGCGGCTTTAGTCTCTAGCATGGTTTTGCTGGCTAAGCAGTGCAGCCATGTTTAGTGGAGCGAGCTGCTCTGTTTTTATAAATAAAAAGATAAAGCATCAGAAGGCTGAACCACAATCCACCACAGAAGGGAAAGCAATACCTGTTGGTAAGTACCTTATCTACTGTCACTGGGATGTTACTTTCAAACATTTTCCATAGTTTGTTTGTTGCCTTTGCATTTCATACAGTTCCAGTGAACTGCAAGACATCAAATGCGATAAGAGCAATGTCCTGGTAAGAAACTTGAAGTGTGTTAAGGCAGCTTGTCTTTATTTAATTATTTATTAAATTAATGGTTTGGATTTTAAAGCAGTAACTGTGCACAGGCCCTCTTACAGAGTAGTTGGTGTGTTTTATTTTCAGTATTTGTTCTGAAACCTCCCCCACTGATGTATGCTTGAAATTCTTCCATATGTGTAAAACAATAACGTTTATTATGTGATGTGCAAAATATTTTACCACAAAATAGCAAGAGATACTAAACAGATTTTTAAGGAAAACAAAATGATCTTTGTATGTTGTGTTAAAAGGGGAGAGGGGGGAGACAAGAGGAGGATACTTGAAAAAAATGCAGGGTACAGGTATGCTGCAAAAGAAATCCGTTTTGCCCCAAGCCTTTGGCTTCTCACAGAACATCTGTCACACAGCTATTCCTTTCTAAACTTGTCGGATTTTGCCTGAACTTAATTCTTTGCAGAAATATTTGCTACAGGGCTGTTCTCCTTTTCTCTGTGTAAAAAATTTAACAGTAAAAAAAAGCTGCATGGGCCTGTTTGCGTTGAAAATTTGTCTTTCATAAAGATTGCTGCTGTCAGCAACCACATGTTTATGTAGCGTTGTGAATACTTGCCCAAAGTAGAAGTGGTTTGCAGCAGATTTTAGCAGATGTTTTGTATCAGTGTGAATTTAATTGTTTATAAAGATCCAGTAGCTCAGTCACCCAGCATTTTTCCTAGCAATTAATGAGTGGTTAGAGTAATGGAGAGTGCTGGTTCAGTTACAGCATTAAAGAAATTGGGTTAGTTTCAAGGTCTGCTTTACTGTAATAGTATCTTTTGTAACACAGTGTAAAGCACTAGAAGTTATTATCACTTGTTCATTATTAGAATTAAGGAAGATACTAAGGCTCTCAGGCTGAGATTAAAACTTAAGCCTACTTATTTGTAAAATAAATGTTTTATTCCAGGAAAACATAAGTTAGAATGTCTTATTTATTCTAGACAACCTTTTTAAGTTAGACAGATTTTTTTTAAATGGATTTAAATTATTTTCAAGCCTGTGAAACTAATAAGAGCGCTTCGAAATACTTATTCTTTGGAGTTGATATTTTAGACAAATGTTTAACTTGATCTAGTAACTCTTAAAATACAGAGAAAAAAATTTGTGTTCTGAGATTGCCTTTCTCAGTGCTCATCATATTCACAGCCTAAAATTGCTCATTCCTTCCTGAGGCAGAAGGTTTGGAAAGGTGGCTCCAGGTGCTTCTGCAAAGCCCAGGCATGGAGCTGAGACAGAAGAGGAAGGAGATGTGATGGTCAAATGGGAAATCATGAGGAGCAGCTCTGTTGCAGGAGTAGGGGATTAGAACACAAGGAGAACAGATGGGGATGCAGAGGTAGACAAAGTAAAGGGTGGTCATCAGAAAGCATGGCTGTGAGAGCCAGGAGAGGGAGGGACAAGTACTGAGAATGTCGTTGACATTCTTCCACATGTGAAGGGCAAGGTGAAGCAAAGGTTCAGAACACGCTCAGGACAGGGTGGATAGGAAAGTTCACCTCTCTGTGTCTTGATCTGATGTCATATGTTACATAGTTTTTGTGCAAGGGGCCAGTGTTCAGTGATGTTTTCCTCTCTCGGTGCAGGAAACTGCTTAAAGTGGAACTGGAGTTGGTTGATCGAGGCTGAGGCTGACTTTCACCCTTAAGCAGTAAAGTGAAATCCTGCATCACCTGCAAGTGGTGTAAAGTAGGCCGAGGCAGAATATGCTGGTGTGGCGGTTCAAAGTGTGCTGTGAGAGCTCACAGATTCACTTGTCTGTGATGGTCTCACACTTTTGGGCCTCATTTGAAAAAAAAAAATGAACTTGGGAAGCTGTCATAACCTCTAGTAAACCAAAGGCCACCCGTGGATCTGCTTTGTGTTCTGTACAACGGGGTAACACCCTGTGTTTCACATGCAAACCAGTGGCTAAAGTTTTTCTTGTTGCAACTTGGAGCTGCATGTTAATGTGCTGACATGAAACAATACAATTTCTGTTAGTAGCAGATGGCTTAATTCTCCACACCTGTATTTATGGATTACAGGATTTCTATTCATGCCAACCAGAACTTTAGGCATCAAAACAAATCTTGGTATTTTGTAGTCACCTGTTAGAAACAGTGTTCTTTTTTATTGCTAAATAGAAGTGTCTATTTAGAAAACTTCTTTGCAGGTATTTGACATGTGCTCTCCTTGTCCTGTGAGTGTAGCTAAACTTTCTGGGATTTGTTTAAAATGGAAAAAAACAAAACACCTCCTCCCCAAACGGTAATTGCCTCACTCCATTTCTCTCTTTTTTTTTTTTTTAGTGAAAGCATTGTCTGGTTATACACTTCACCTTAAAAAACCTTGCTTTTACTCTGCAATGTGGCAGTATTGATGAGCTACATAATAGCTGGATCATGCAACCCCTTTTTTTATGGAAGGATTTCTTGGAGTATATAAGTATCTGAAGTCTTGTGCTAAATTTTAACAGATCCCTGGTTTAAAATTCAAATAATCTGTTTGGAAATTACTTATCTTTTAATATAAACATTCTTTAAATCCATTAATAAAAAAATAGGTCTGTCCTGTGAAATATGCATATGTACGCATGAAAATGCTGTAATTACAAATGTGATCCCAGTTACTGCAGAAATATATTTATTAGTTGGTTTTACACTTTCTTCAGACAGCACTACATGGGGTTCAGGAGAAATCCATGGGCCTGGAGGGCATGTTTTGACACAACTTCAGGCTTCTTGGCTCTGACATGGAGAATATCCATATTGTAGGGAAGATTTGAAGTTTAGAGGAAGAAAATAAGAAGTAACTAGTGTGGACTGGAGGAAGCAAGTGGTGGAAGTCAGGCTTCTGTGTCTGTCAGTACTTGGTGACCACAGAAAACCCAGCACAGTTTAGGGAATCTTCTTATCCCTTTTTTTTTGTTTTTTTTCAGTATGCCTAAGTCCAGTTTGGATGTGCCATTTGGGCTAGAGGTTAGAACTGAAACTGAATAATATTGAGCCCCAGACAGACTCCTAAAAAAATCCGATAGCTTTCTTTACAGGTTCTTTGGTGTGCCTTGGTGCCTACATTATGCTTTCATATTATATCTTTAGTATGTAATAGGGTGTGCTCAAAAGGATATGTAATGATATTCAGGGCATTTCTTCTTCCTTTTGGTGTTTTGTTCTGTTGCTGGGCCTTGGCCTTCAAAGCTTGCTTTATGCTATATGTTGCCTCCCGCAGAGGATTTTGAGTCTAATGCTCCTGTATTTTTCATTAGAAACTCTTTAGAGAATTTGAATCTTTTAGGATTTCAGGTTTTACAGAGCAGGGAGCTCTAATGATGACCTTCCGTGTGGATCCACAGTTTGCAGTGGGTCAGGTGTGTAAGGAGTATTGGAGGTTTTGAGAGAAGATCTGGATTCTTTTGCTGTCTCGTACTTGAATTAATTACTGCCTGCAGTAATGGATTTTCACTGTAGCACTTTTGCTGCTGTTACCAGTGTTCATAGAATCTTTTTTTTTGTTATTTTGCAGTTTACAAAAATGACTACAACTGCTGGTTTGTCAGAAGATATAGTGTGGAACTGCAAGATACTGCTGAAGGAGAGGGACGTGGTTTTAAAGCTCATGAATAAATGTGAAGATATTTCAAATAAACTGACAAAGCAAGTAACCAGGATTACTGGAGATGGAGGATGTGGATGGAACATAGAGCAACCCTCCATTCTGAATCGGAGGTATCTTTCCCTTTTTTATACTTACAAGGCTGTTGGACAGTGAGATGTACTTGAAGGCCTTGTTTTACTTCCTCCAGTTTTTGATGGATGTAAAAGTCAACCGTGAGCAATGGGATCATGAGTTGTCTACTTACTTCAAATGAAAGCCCAAACAAACCTGCTTCTGTTATAGGGGATCTTAGCAGTTTCAAAGATGCCAAATTGAAATAAATCTGAGCAAACTTGGAAGGTTTATCAGCTGGACAAAAGACCTTGGTCAGGAAGTTGAGATGTACAAAATAATCTGGAACTTTTTATCCATTGGAAATGGCACCAGGGATGTGTTGGGGAAGGATTTATTTCACAGAGGTAAATTGGTAAGAATCTCCAAATGGATAGGAATAAAGAGAGAACTTAGGAGGAATAGAAATGGATATGGTAGAAGGCATTATCCTAAGGATTAGGAAGCGTGGGGACGAAGGTGCCAGAATATTAACTTGAATTAGACTGTTAGTGGTGAATAGCAAGACAATTCTCAGCTATGTGAAAATAAAACCTGAGAGGAAGGAACTGTCTGGGGGAGCTTGTCAGTGATGTTTCTTTGGCAAAAAGTTCTGAACTAGGTGGTTTGCTGTTGAGTGTGTTTCATGGGTTGGGTGTGTTTGGGTTTTTCTTTGGTGCTGACACAGCCAGTAATTGTACAACAGAGCAAACTTACTGATGCAACTGCTAAATGCCACTTATTTATAGTGTATTTTTAAAATTAGCAGTTCTGTAACTGCTTTTAGCTGGTTGTGTATCATTGATTTTAGAAAAGAAGTATTTATTGTGTTACTCATTTTGATCATTTAAGATCTATGAAAATTCAGATAAACTCATTTTGGAAATACTCTTTGTATTCAGGTGACTGATTAAATAAAATCTGTGGTTTTCACTGCACAAGGAGACCTGGACTGTTAAAATATAGGCAATGTAACACTTGCCATTCTGTGATTACCTTACCATAAGTGTAAAGTTATGTTTCATGGGGAAACAAATGAAAGGTGGTATCAAGCTTGATTTTTTTTTTTTATTTAATAACAGTTTGAAACTGAAGCCGTATCAGAAGATTGGTTTGAACTGGTTAGCACTGCTGTATAAACACAGATTGAATGGCATATTGGCTGATGAAATGGTAAGTGTGAAACTGATTACTTAAGAATCATTTAAAGTTTGCAAAAATGTACTTTGTTAAATTCTTTCCTTTCCTGGAAACTTCAAGCAGATTATAAGTAATTTGTTTTCATTAATATAACTTAAATTGCAAACAGTTTCTCCAAAAGCTTAGAAGCTGCTGAGCTCTTACTTTCATTTTGAAAGCCAAAGGTGTAGCCTAAGATTCGTGACCACTGACAGTGACAAGTCACATGGTGTCTTCTAACACAATGGAATCAGTTTCTGCCTTAAGAGGTTGTTCTCAAACCATGCTTTTAATAACTTCTTGCCCGTAAATACAATTCACTCTACTTGTCCAACATTTAGTGCAGTGAGCCCCTATCTTCTACATTTCTCCACCAGTTTCAAAAGAGGTGGTTAACAGTACAGGAAAAACTAAGTGCCTAGAAACCTTTTCTGCTTCTCCAGAAGCAGCGTTTTCACCATGTCATGGGTTTTGAGGTTTTGTTAAAGGCTGACACCACCAGTAGCTGTACAACACAAAAAACTTAGTAATGCTGCTGCTAAGTGTGTTGTCCTTGCTTTTAATCGTGGCTGCTTTCATCTTGTGATGAACCTTGAATGAGTGGATTGGTTTGCTGCACTATCAGTCAGTGTTTCTCAACTTCTGTATGTTTCATGTTTGTAAGAATGTGCCTGTTTTGTGATAGAAAAGATAAATTTTTAAATGCCTGATACAGAAAACGTGAAAGTGAGTATTGGTGGAAATGTGGACTTATCTTAAAGAAATCCAATTGCCATATTAAATTCCATTTCAGATGTTGCTGGAATACCCTTTGTACAGCTGATGCAAATGGAAATAAACATTTTGTTTCCAAGTCATCATTTTTTTTCATTGGTTTAGGAAGGTAAATTTTTGAAGATGATTTGAGAGATGAACTTGCACTAAAATGAAAAGCTTCATAAATGGAAAAGATGAATCTTTGATGCTCAAATATTGAGCTGAAATGATAATGGAGTTTGACTGAGGCTCTACATAAGGAGGAACTGTCTTCTGTGAAAGTGTGGTTAAGCAGAACAAACTTTCTAATCAGATTTCTAATCTTTACTGAGTCTTTGCTACACTGTAATTGTCCTATGTGTACACTATTATGTTCTACAGACTGTAAGTTTTGTTTAAATGGATTTGTTTTCTCTTAGGGCTTGGGAAAAACAATTCAAGCTATTGCATTTCTAGCTTATCTCTACCAAGAGGGCAATAGAGGTCCCCATTTGATAGTTGTGCCAGCTTCAACATTAGGTAAGTTCTAAGCTTCAAAAATATTTCTTTGTTTAAAAAAAAACAAACAAAAAAACAAAAAAAAACCAAAAAACAAAAGGCAATCATGGACAGACTGAAGCAAAGATAATTTAATGAAAGAAAACTTGATTTTTTTATGATAGTATTCAACTCCTTAAGTAACTTGGATTGGAATGCAAACCATATTGAAGACAATCTTGTTCTGAATTAATTAGACCTAGCATGGAATTTTTTTTGAATGATATATATGCTTTGCAAAAAATAAAGCTGCTTGTTAGAATTTGAACTTGTGTAGCAAAGTAATCATTTTACTTACCAAATATTGGCTGAAATTCCAACTCTTCAGGCTGTGCTTAGGGTTAGGTTTCATGACATTTGAAACATTCGGTGTCTTTTTTCCTCTTTGTGCACAGCATCTGTCAAAGCAGATCAAAATCCTAAAATGATGAGGCTGACTGTCTTTTAGGTGTGTGTTCTGATTGTTTTATGGCCTCAGTTGAAAGTAGGAAGAATATGGTGGAATAAAATATGTCAACAGAGCTGATGAGGTTGAGCAGAAACTGGTTCTTGATAGAGTTGAATTTGGTTTTGTTGAATGATTATAGAAAGAAGAAAGTAACAACTTGAATTTAGAAAGTAAATGCTGAGTTTAATATAAAATACTTATCTGGGCTTCAAAAATTTCTCTTAACACATCAGAAAAGCTTCTGGTTGTTCAACTGCAGTTCAAAATTGCCATTTTTAGTGTGCTTTCAAAGTTCACTAGAACCCGCCTTTTTTTTCATAACTCTTAAGCATGCATATTGCTTAAAACCCGAGGTGTACATAAATATGTGAACAAAGATGCTTTTGTGAAGTCAGCCTTAGAGGTTCATGAATTGTAGTGGCAGGTTGGCCACTAGAATTGACCTCTGGGATGCCTGGGAAGTACAGCCTACTGGCAGCTTTCCTAACACTTTTCTGGAGGTATCTCCCCAGTCCTGATCTGGGTCCTGCCCATGCCCAAGTGGCATTTACCTGCGGCCCCCTTCTGCTGTGGTTTGGGGTCAGAGGTGGTTGGTGTTGGCTGTCAAACAGCTTCCCCTCGGGCACAGCAGAGTTGCCCATGGCCTCTCTGCTGGCTGCACACCTGGAGCTGTGTCGGGTTGTCAGGCTGCCTTGCCTGCCCCCAGAGGCACTGTCTCTCCTGATGACACACATCTGGAGGCAAGTACTGACAAATGAAGTGATTTGCTTTCTGAGGAATTAACTGTCTAGGGAACAAATCAAGCTGCAAAGTTAAGCATTGTGTTAATTTTGTATGGTGGTTACAGATCATGCAGGGTCTGTTTGTGTAGGAGTTTAAAGTGCAAGCTGGTCAAGCAAGAGTTACTGGAAGTCCAGTTGTGGGATGTTCAGTTTCTTTTATATTATCAGTTTTCCAGTATTGAGACATAATGTTTCTTAACCTTCAGGAGAATTTAAAAGAATTTGCTTTAAACTCAGATGTTTGTTTCAGGTCTGAGGTGTGATGTTATGTAAGACATAATAAGGTATAAATGACTTGGTTTTTGTTTTATTGATGTCTTACAGATAACTGGATAAGAGAAGTTCATCTGTGGTGTCCTGAGCTGAATGTCCTTTTTTACTATGGTGAGGAATCCAATTTAGGAGTGAATCCAATGATACAGCTACTTGTGGTCAGCCGAAGAAAAGATTAATTGCTCATGGAAGCATTATTTTAAGACAGTTGTTTAAATACACACATTTAATGATGAATGATTTCTGTGTACTGTCTTTAATTTTTATGTATATATAAATTTATGTAACTGTACTTCTGTTTTGTCCTTTTGTAGGATCTCTAGAAGATAGGAAACATCTCAGGCTGGACATTATTAATAAAGTCATTGATTTCAATGTGATCGTAACTACGTAAGTGCAGTTATAAAACTACAAAAAAGTGAGATTTAGTGAGGTCCTGCTGACCTCTAGTGGTACAGCAAAACAGACAGTCTTGGGATTTGGTTTTCAGTCACAGTTAACTGGAGTTTTATTGTTGTGTAAGATACTATGTCATAGATGCTTTAGATACTATCTGTACATGCTGACAGATACATCTTATGCTGTAATAGATTTGCACAGCTTTTTGGAAAGTGTTACAGAGAGCATTGGCTCATCAAGTACACTGTGATTATTTGCCAGTAGTAAACTACCTTGCCTTATGGTTGGTTACTTCCAGGCAGTTTCACTGCCCCTCATGTATTCTCTCCACAACTCTTAACAATTTTAGAGAATTTGATTTGATTGTGATAAGAGTTTTAAAAAACAGACTAAGTGCAAGTGATATCTTTCTCTGACAGATACAACTCTGCAATTAGTAGCTCAGAAGATCGAGGACTGTTCCGCAAGTTGAAGCTTAACTATGCCATTTTTGATGAAGGTCATATGCTCAAGAACATGAGCTCTGTACGCTACCAGCACCTTATGACAATCAACGTAAGAGGTTTAGTTATTGTTGGGTAAGGGGGAACAACTCCTGGTTTTTCTGTTCTGTAGCTATGAGTGGAAGGGAAGTGGAATATTAACTGTCAAGTACATGTAGTACTTGTCCAATAGTAATATACTTAAGATCACTTGCTGCAACTTATTTTTCAAGATGTTTTCATCAATAGCCTTTTTAAGAAGCTGATCTTTAAGCAATAAAACTATGGTTTTTACTTGCAATTCAAAACTTGCGCATAAGTACTGTATAACATTAGAGAACTTAATAGGGGAGCAACAATAAGCACAATCATTAAGGAAGGGGGAAAAATCCCAACAAAAAACCCTGCAACAAGAGCAACCAAAACAAAACGCTAACAGAACAATTGAGAAAATAAATCCAGGAAGGCTTTTTTTGAAAATTGTCTTAGATTGTTATGTGCACAGTTCCCCACAGATCTGTAAGCAGTTTTGTTGACTTAACAAGGAAATTATTCCATGAGATCCAAATATATAATAACTTGAAGCAGTTATAATTAAAACCAAGCTCATTTTCTCACTTCTCCATAGCTATGTTGTCTCTGCCAATAGTAATTTTTAGCCTGTTTGACCAATGTTTCTTGCTGCTCTTTCCACTTTGCACAAACAGGCCAAGAATCGCTTGCTGCTAACAGGGACTCCAGTTCAAAATAATCTGTTGGAATTGATGTCCCTCTTGAATTTTGTCATGCCACATATGTTCAGCAGTAGCACGAGTGAAATTCGAAGGATGTTCTCTTCAAAAACAGTAAGTATTATGTATTCTCTTGTTGAAAATAACTTTTTTTTGCTAGCAGACTGTGGTTGCCGCATAGCTTCTGTTTTATTGGTGTCTTACGGAAACAGGTAATGGGATTATGAAAATCTAGAAAATGAAACAATGGAATAAACCATTTAAAGTGAAATATGTCATAACAGGATATCTCAGAGTACTAATGGTCATGTTAAATATGTCTCTTCTGGCTGGGTTTTTCCATCGAGTTTTAACAGTTAAGGTGGTGGCATCACAACTGAAAACTTAACACTGTGATTTAATTCTTGCAATATTTTCTTTAGAAGAGTGCTGAAGAACAAAGCATATATGAAAAGGAGAGAATTGCACATGCAAAGCAGATAATAAAACCATTCATCTTGAGAAGAGTAAAAGATGAGGTAACGTTTTATCTTTAAAATAATGGTTTCGTATTATCAAAAAGCCTGATAATCTTTGAGACCAACAGCTTAATATAAGGTGAAATTTTTGGTAGTGCTAGTTTTACCTGTTTATCTAGCAAGAACAAGAAACTTGAGCTATCTTTCAGGTTTTTGCAAGTAAATGTGACCTGGTGCAGCTTTGTATTTTGATATTTGCTGACTATTTACTGTTGAGAATTTTAGTTAGGAAAGATCACCAAATAGTGTTTCAGTGCACTAAGTGACAAGAATTGAAAAGTCCTCCAGATCATGAAAATATTTGTGACTTTATAGTAATGGCATTTTAACTGAAGGGATTAAGGAGTGAATGTACATGTATTTGTATATGACTAGAAATGCGTGATTTCTGTTATTTTACCATCAAAAAGATTTCTTTTATTCAAAAATCCAAAACCTATTTAAATTCTTCTTTTTAGAATTGCATTTATAAAAGAAACAGAAAATTTACTGATCTGAAAAAATGTTAATGTGTACTTGCAGACTTCAGTGGTCAGTGCCCTGACGAGGGTAACCCTGATTAGCAGGGAAGGAGATTCCAGGTATTGCATGTAATATTATTTCACGCGGTTCTGGAGTGTGCAGACCATGTTACTTGGTGTGGGGGTTGATGTATAATCCAAATCAAGGTTTTGTGTATGTTGAGTTGCTGACAAAGTTAGTGGAGTTGACAAGCAATGAAAGGAGTTGGGATGGGGAAAATAATTAGAGTAGCTTAAAAGCAGGTTTGTAAGACAGTACTGAATTACAGAATCACTGACTGTCCACAGCAGTACAGGTTTCATCTGGTATGATTTTGTTTTGTCAGGTCCTTAAACAACTACCTCCCAAGAAAGATCTCATTGAATTATGTGCCATGTCTGAGAAACAGGAACAGCTCTATTTTGATCTCTTAAACAAGCTCAAGAAAACTATTAAAAGTAATGGTATGTAAGGGTTTTTTGGTTTCCTTTTGGTGGATTTTTTTTCATGGTGAGAAATTTGTTGAGCGTGACTGCAAAGCTTTTCCTTTATAGAAATGTCTAATTCTCATAAACTAACTATGTCCTTCTGTGAGTTTTTCTGAAGTTCAGGTAAAAGGTGAAATTTCAAACTCAGTTCTTAAAAATAAAGCTCTCCTGAGAGATAAAGATTTATGAGGCATCTATGTATTATTGCGAAATATACCTTATTTCTTTGTTTACAGAGAAAAACTCTGATATGGGAAATGCAATGATGCAACTTAGAAAAATGGCTAATCACCCTCTCTTGCATCGTCAGTATTACACGAATGACAGGCTCAGGACCATGTCCATGCTTATGCTCAAGGTAAGGGGATGAGATTCAGGAGCAGTCTTTTATTTCTCAGAATTTCTAATGCAACTTAAATAAGCGTTGTTTTGTGGGTTTTGATTTGTTTGTTTTGTTGTCAGTCCTCTGGTCAAAAGTGTGTCTTTGCAAAAACTTAATTAAATGTTACTGCTTTCTATTTCTCTGCATCTAATCAAGCTCTGTTTGTGTTCAGCACTGATTTTTGTATCAGATATTAGAATGGAGAGAACAGTTGTGTGTCTGCAGTCATCTCCTTTTCATTAGCTGCCGCTTAGTACCTCTTCCCTCCACCCCAAAAATTTAAAGCCAAAGTGCTTAGGAAAAAAAAATATTGGATGGACACTTGAGTTTAATAGCTTTCTGTGTAGCAAGAAAGCCAAGCTGTACACAACTAAAGTAGGGAAGGCATAAGTATTGAAGTGTTGAGGATTTTTTTTTTTTTTTTAATTTGGCTGGAATTAATGCCTGAGGAGTTTGGGAAAATTTTTGCTTTTTTCTAAAGTATGAAACAAAATTCTGAATGTGCAGCAGGTTCTCTAAGAAAGCTGCAGCTGGCCTTGAATATTCTTCAGCTTTGTTTTCAGTGAAGCCAGACAAGGCTGGGGAGAAGGTAAGAAGTGATCCATTGGTTTATGAAGGATATTTGACCCTTTTTATTCCTACTCATACCATCCTACTTTCCAGATGTGGCTTTTCTTTTCCTCTTTCTTCCAGGCATGACATCCCTCTACCCCAGCCTACATCTTGGGCTGGGCTTCCCATGTCTTCTACCATCTGTCCAAGGATTGGACCTCCCTTTTAGGGAGCGTGTCTTCAGGGGAAGAGATCTGATAAAGGGGTAAAAGGTCATAGGGCTTGATGGGAACTAGGTAATTACTGTGGAGGTTGAGCATATACTACTTAGCTTTCGGTAGTAGAGATGCTTGTATAAGCTAAACAGTGAAATAATGAACCTCTACTGTAAACCTGGGGTTACAGAGTTCATCTTGTGTTGCTTGCATGAGCCATGCTCTGGCATTTGTCCATGTCTAGGTGTGCTACTTTTTTTCTTTCAGAAATTCTAGATGTTGTTGTGTGGTGTTTTGTTCCTTCTCTGGTGAGATTGTGTATTGCATTATTTCCCTTCCTTTTTGCTAACAGGAACCCACACATTGTGATGCTAACCCTGACCTTATCTTTGAAGATATGACAGTAATGACAGATTTTGAGCTGCATTTGCTTTGTAAACAATATTCTCACATCAGTGAATTCAAGTTAGACATGGATCAGATCTTGGATTCTGGGAAGTTTAGAGCACTGGAACACATTCTCTCTGACCGTAAAGAAAAGGTATTACAGATGGCTGAAACTTCTTTTCCTCTCTATCTGAAGAGTTGCTCTAAATAACTGGTTAAATTAACCTCTGTTATCTGTGTACACAACCCTTATGCTTTGCTGTGATGTATTACAATAGGATTTAGTGCATGTGCAGAACAGTACTTACAACTCTTAATGTGCAGTCTTGAGTATGCATGTCACTTTAGAGACAACTGAAATAAGCTTTCCCACTTCTTACAAGTTTCAGAATATTCATCCAAGTTATCAATATTTATCAATATTTGGGGTCTTGAGTAATTTTTGCACCCCATGAACTTCACCTTCTTTTAGCAATTGAGTAAGACTGTGTTATGTTAGAATAATTATGTATGTGTAAAGCCCATGTAAAGGTTAAGAAGAGGTCCCTGCTTGGAGTCCTGCCCTGAGATTCAAACAAGGTTATTTTACAAATAAGCATGTACCATAATGCTTCAGAGGGATCCTGAGTTTGCACAAGTGTGTGCTATGTGTCTGACTGTTTCAGACAAAAGAGTGTTACTGCTCTAAATTATATGGACTATCATTTAAATTTAAGGTTTTAATGAAAATAGTTTGATGCTTATGGATGGAGTGGATCCATGATTTATGCATTTGATATGTGATTTGCTTGAGTCACCTAAGTACACAGTAACTAAAATATTACTGCATTGACAAACAGTGGGTTAATGTAGCAGAAATACTGGATACAATATCTTCGTGAAAGTCTGTCCTGACTTGCTAAATTTCAACATAGTCTTTCAGTTTGGAAAATAGGGTTTCAGTGAAAGTAATATCACTTGCTTGCACCAATAAAGAATTTCTGTAGTTCATAGCTGACATGTTTTAAAACTTTTGTTTTGCTTTGTCATTTCCAGGGTGATCGAGTTGTGTTGTTCAGCCAGTTTACTATGATGTTGGATATCTTGGAAGTTTTCCTAAAACACAGACAACATAGATATATCAGACTGGATGGAAAAACACAGATACCTGATCGGTATGTGGCTCTTTTTCCAAAGATGAAAAAGTGAATGTGCGTTTGGAGAAAGGGAGGTAACCTAAACCCCTTACTTTTCTTTTCCAATGTATAGAATCTGTGATCAGTGGGCATTGACTGTGGAAGGGCTTTAATGTTGGATTTCAGTTAACTTTAGCAGGGATGAGGCTGAAAGATGACTTTTAGGTTGTCAGGTTGCAGTCTTACCCATTGAAATGGAAAGCTTGTATCTTCAGCAGTTCATGGTGTGTTTGTGTGACAGTATGCCATAACAAAAGCTTACATGTAGCTATTCCTTGGAAGTACAGTATATTTCTGTTACAGTAGCCAGATAAACCCCTTTGTTTCTCTAGGACAAATCATGTAGTCTGCCCTTACAGCTGAAAATGTTGCAGCACTTTTCTTGTATTTGAGCTGTGCATGTCTGTTGTCTCAGGAATTCTAAGGAAAAAAAGTATTTTAGATGTTTTTTCCTTCATTTCAAAAAAATTTGTTTCTTGTTGTGGTGTTACTTCCGTCTTACAGCTGATGTCTGTCACTGCCCTCGCAGTTGCTACGGAAGACAGTCATGGAGCAAAACTCATCCCCTGCCTCCCCATTTGTTTCATGTACTTCAGTCTTCCCATCCTCCAACTTGCTCTTTGTGTTCTGTGATCATCAAAAATCTTTTTCCAAGCCTTTTTTCATTCCTTGCTATTGATTTGTCACTCGGTATGTTTCTTTGGTCACTGCTGAGGACTGTTGGTACCCTTTTCCCTTCTGCATAACATCTGTGCTTTTGGCATGCTGTGCAGTGCCACTGTCCTTTCATCATCCAAACTTCTGTATTCAGTTCCACAGCCAGTGCGGTGTTTTTTCCAAGGCCTGATGCATGTGTGTCTCGTGTTCTGCAGGATACATCTAATAGATCAGTTCAATACAGATATGGGAATATTTGTATTCCTTCTGTCAACCAAAGCTGGTGGCTTGGGAATTAATCTGACCTCAGCAAATGTCGTTATTCTTCATGACATTGATTGCAACCCGTACAACGATAAGCAAGCAGAAGACCGATGCCACAGAGTAGGTCAGACAAGGTAAGACTCTTTTTAATTGTACTTGGGTTTTTTTGGAGGCAAACGCTCAAAGGAGGCTAAAAGGATGAAATTTTGTGATTAAGAATTCCATTTCAAGCAGAGACTTGTGTAAACCAGCTCTGTGTTTTATGGCAGCTAGGAATTGTAATTGTCCTAGCATATGTTGCTGCCAGACCAAACCTTATTTACACTCTCATCCTTTTTCTGGTTCTCTACAACTCAAATTCTCTAAAATTGTCGAGTTTCTGGTACTGGGAACTGTTCTGAGGCAAATCTGAAGTCTTTGGGACTGTTTGGCCAAACTGTTCTCTTCAAGAGACTTCTAAGCTTTTGTGTGCCACCCTATCATAAAGAGTGAAACCATAGAATGTGTTTAATAACAGGTATTTCAACTGTAATATAGAATTAGGGGGAATTTGACTTGTTTGTATGAGTGGAGATTTTTGTGACTGTCCAGGCTCTTGCAAGTGGCTGAGAGTGCAAGAGAAAACTTGTTTTCTGGCAGTGCAGAGCACAGTTGTTCCAGAGAGAAAAACTAGGAGCTTTGTATTGCCCTTTCATTCATTTCCTCATCCTTGCTTTAGACCACTGCCAGCAAAGGCCTAGCATCCTTCCCTTTTGCACTGATCCAAAGAAAATATAAAAACGAATTTATCCTATTTTGTGGTTTTCAGAGAAGTAAAAGTCATAAAGCTAATCAGTAAGGGGACTATTGAAGAATCCATGCTCAAAGTCAGCCAGCAGAAATTGAAGTTAGAACAGGATATGACCGCAGCGGATGCAGGTAGGTGTCTTGCACATAATGATGTCCTCTTAAGTAAATTAGCGGTGCTGCAATATATCATTCTGATAAAAGAAGGTTCTTGATGCAGACAAGCCTTTTGTTGTGTTTTTTTGTGTTAAACTAGAAAGATGTATTTGTGCTGATTATTGTTCAATTTGACAGTAAGTGCCCAAGAAGTCTGACCCAGAAATCAGTGAAAAAGTCTTTAAGCAGAGGATTTTTTTTTTTTTTACAGTCTTGTGGAATGTAGACCTTTGTTTATGTGAAATATTTTAAGCTCCACTCATATTTGGTTTTATTCCTCAGGAGAAGAAGGAACCATTCCAGCAGATATAGCCACACTATTAAAAGCTTCGTTGGGTCTCTAAAATGTAAATATGTTGTGAAATTCAAGGAAAGGTGATGATGTACCCCAAGGACTCTTACATTACTGATGACCAGGAGTTTTATGAACATTTATAACTTTTTATAGTTTCTTTATTGTATTCCTCATGATGTTGAAACTTTTTAACACCGATAGCATTCTTAGGATGCTTTAAAACATAAATGGCCCAAATGTGCCAACAAGAGATGCTGAATAAACATTATTTTACAGATCACTTTTCAAAATGGGGACCTAAATAGTAATTGTTTTAACCAATCTACTACTGCTTAAGATTTGTCAGTATTTTTGTAATTATTTCTACCTCCAAATATAAATATATATATATATATATAAACTGTCTGTTTCACTGGATTCTGAGTGTAGATTTTTTTATATGTGCCTTATTTGACAATGCTCGAGTCTGTTTGTTTCTGCTTGTTTGGGTTCATTTGATGTACCGTACTGGTTTTGTATCAACTTGTTCCAATAAAATTCTGTAGATTGACAAAATATTTTCATGGTTGTGGTTATTTGAGGCAGATGGGGGGTGATAACTTGCATGTTATAAATCAAATAGGCAGCTTTCAAACTTGCTGAAATGTTCCATTTGGACTGACTTGGCTTTATCCAGCAGTAGTTAATTACTGATGTTTCATTATACTCTAATCACAGTGGTGTTAGTATGTTGATTGTATAAACAGAATTCTTGCCAATTGGAACTTTCCAAATTGTAATTTTTTGGTCAATCCTTGTTGTAGATACATGATCTGCATTCTGACAATGAAGTGCTCTAAACACAAAGTTTGTCTTGCTCTCTTCTTGACATTTCAATGAATTTTGAGTTCATCTCAGTGAAATGAAGAGCCTCAGGGGGTATCAGTGGTGAGGTGTGCCTCCACCTGAAGTTTCTAATCTGCTGGCAAGAATGTGATCTGAGGAGGTAGGAGAGGAAGATGTCCATTTCCATGGACAGAAATTTTTTGGTTTTTTTTTTTGAACTCGAGTGGTTGAATCAGACTGCTGCTTTTTAAAAAGCAGTGGGGGAAGGCAAAGTATGGTGGAGTTCTTATTGCCCCTGCCCTCTGTCAGAGCCTCAGCTGCTGTATGGTCTGTGCAGAGCTCAGCAAATCTGTACCAGGCTGAAGCACTCTGAGTGTTGTGTCTGAGAATTCACTCTGGTTTGCAGTAGGGGTTTGGTAGTTTGTTACCCCTTTGCTAGACCTGGCTGCCACAGTCAAAAGTCACTTGTTTGATTTTTTGAAGGAACTTAAACAGTGTTCTATAAAGAAGGAGGGAAGAGGAGCTGGAGTCCATCATTTCTCAGTATTTCAACCTGTCTGTGAGTTGGACATGCTTTTTTTTTTTTTTTTTTTTCCATTTGGCTGTTGGTATTTTTGTGGGTGTTTTGTGGGTGGTTTTAGTCAACTGTGCATTATTTCTGCAAGTTCAAAATAGATGGAAGATTAAATCCCATAAAAGTTTTTCAGAGTTTGAACTAAACTTCTTGGGTTTTCCTAGAAAATACTCTGTGCTGTGCTGTATGTTCCAAAATGCACAGCTGAAACAGAGTGAAGAAATATTTTATTATATGGGAAAGAGAGATGGGTAAGAATCAGTTCATCTGCCATGCTCCTATAATTCCACTGCTTCTCTTGGACTAAATAGTGGGATTTAACAGACAACCACAGGTGTTTAATGCCACAGTTAATGAATGAGGTTGCCTGTTTCTGTTGAGAATCATCATTCTTTTGATGCTAACCCAACTCTTAGCCCATTGTGTTTGCATATTCTCACCAGTTTGGTTCAGATGTGAATTGAAACAAAATCCCTGCCCTGTAGGGTGGTTTGTGTGGTGTTTTGGATGTGTATGGAATCCGTTCATATAGTCTGGCTGAGCAGTGGGTACTTCACAAAGAATCGTAGCTGCAGACCCCCAGGATCAATATCTGTCTCAAAGTCCTATGATGCTTATATGTGTTTCTACCTTTTTTAATTTATTGTAACTATTTCTGCCCTGTTTAATTTAGGGTCTCAAGAGATTGTAGAGTCACTGTCCTCGGAGATAATCAAAAGCTGTCTGGATGCAGTCCTGGGCAGCTGGCTCTAGGTGGCCCTGCTTGAAGCAGGGGGTTGGACCAGGTGACCTCCAGTGGTCCCTTCAACTTCAGCCATTCTATGATTCTGTGTCTCTGACTGGGAATGATGTACGGAGGTGAAAAGACAAAAAGCACCATGATCTGAAGTCAGTTGCTGAAGAAGAGAGGAGATGGGAGCTGAAGAAGGATAAATCTGTAAAGAGCCAGAACAAAGTGTGCAAGGAATTGCAAAGCAGGTGAAGATACTACATTGGAATGAGCTAAAGATTGGTTCTTGCTTTCTGTTCTGGCAGTACCTTACCTGTCTCTGAACTGTTAGTGTTTGGTTGGTGTCACTCATGATTCAGTGAAATAATACTAATGGTGGGAGGGAAAAGCAAGTGTGAAGGGAAATACTTTCCTAGCAGTGGCCATTTCCAACCCAGAGGATTGCCCAAATTTGTTGTGGTGTATCTGCTTATATCACACAGTGTAGTCCTTGTGCAAGCACTTGTCTCCCCTTGAGTTCGTGTAAACTGCTTGCACTTACAACCATCCACATCACCAGGACTTCCACCTACCTTTTCCCTAGTCCTGGAAGAACGACCTCTTCCTTTGTTCTAAACCTGGTTGCCACCACCAACCCCTAGTTTGTGTCTCCTACTGAATCTCCTACAGTATCTCCTTACTGAAAGAGATACTGAGCTGTTGATGTTGCAGCTGGTGTGCTTCCAGAAAACTGGTGCTGGTGTGGGCACCACCTCAGCTGTACAGTTGCTTTTTTGTGCTGTTTTGGAGGTTTTGGGTTTGTTTTTTTCAGTGGCAGAGCATAAGCTTCAAGCTTCTCAAATGCTTCCTATAGTCTTTTGAATTTTATTGACCAAGTGGGTCTTTTTTTGTTTTTCCTTAGTGTCCATAGTCTTCCCACACATTTACCCTCACTATTTAACCTGTTTTCCTCTGGATTGAAAGACTGCAAGAGGAAAAATATTGTTGAGATTGCACCTCTCCAGGAAGGTTTATTCATCTCTTCTCCATTTGAGAGTGCTAAAACATTAACTGGTTTGATCAAACACTGTATTAATAGAGGAGGAATGTGATTGAAACCACACCTCTTCAAAACAGTATTTATTACTCTACCAAATCAGTATTTTAAATTCTTTCCTAGAAAAAGTGGTAGGTTTTGATTTGATGCAGCGTACCCATCTGAAGTTAACATAAATGATTTTGAAGTTAATAACTTAGGATGCTAGTCACATTAAAAACTAAACATGCATATGTTTTTCTGAACAGCTGATCTACATTACACTCTTTGGTCTTTTCTGGATCCAGGCTGCAATAGCTGGAAGTGCTTGCACTCTCTCTTTGAGAGCCAAAAGCCTGGGGTATTTGTCTGCCAGGTCAGGTTTACAGGACAGAAGTGTTGTACTGCACACATCCCAGTAGAAATCGGCCCATGTTACCTAGTGGAAGTAGGAGAAAAAGCAGTAAATTTTAGTTTGTTATCTCAAAACCTGGAACTACTAATATTCTCAATAAACTGCAGAAATTAAACATGAATTTATCTGTTTTGCTGAAGTTGTTGCTTTGCGTTTTTTTCTGAAGCCCATCATTACAGAGCAGTAATTAGGTTCCAATGCAAGGCTTGACTTCAGTAAAATATTGGTTAAAATAAAACCCTTGCTACAAATATTACTTCTCTTACAAGATTAATCTTTCCTGCTGAAACTATGCTGCAGAAAAGTATTTAAAACAGTTTTGGGTAAAAAAGGATATTATATTTTTATAGAGGTTTTTTCATATTACCTTATATATTGGTCAGTGATTATAAGTGGAATGAGCTTCTGTTCACTAGTACAGAGGCATTTAAAATGTTTTGTGTCAATGTACTTATGAATTGGTTTAGAAAATACAGATCCTAAGTGAGGTTAACCTCACTTTTCCAATGGTATTGTGTATTGGTAAGAATAAAGACTTAAAAGTGTGGGAGAGCTGTTTCATGGGCTGGCATGAAACAGAAATTCAGTTACTTTCTGGCAACCTGATTGGAATGGGAGAAACAAAAATTATACTTACAGAATTCCCTACCAGCCAGTTTTTGTCCCCTAAGAAAATATCCAAATCTTTCAGTAACTCAGGTGCTTTGTTGGTGAGGATGTCATCAAATGCTTTTTTCTGGAGGAAGAACAAAACACAGAGATGCAAACCAATGTGTAAGCACAGCAGCTGGCAAAACTGAATTTTTGGTGGTGGGGGGAGGGGTTATTTGTGAAAAAGGAACCTGAAATGTGAAAGATTAAAGTTGGGTGCCCAAAACATGGCATATGGCTCACTGAGCCATGACTTAAAGCCTATTGCTCCCTTAATGAAAACCTGAGAGCTCCTCAATGCCGAGACATGATGTCTGAGGTGATGCTGCACCTTTCTCTGTGCTAACAGTCACCCAGCCATGGCAAGGCAGGAGCCCTGCCATAGATTTGGGAAGAATCTAGCTGCAAAATATATTCCCTATGTCTCACAGTCATTTTTGGGGAGGCTCTTGAATGTCATGTTTTCTAGTGTACAGAGTTTCAAATTTCCAGAATTCCTTAAGCTCAGTCTTTCCATGCTATCAGTCAGATGCTGATCAGTTATCTGTGCTTACCAGCCCATCTCATGTGAGATGTGGAACCTGGGTTTTGAGCTTTTGCTGGGGTTTATCTTTGAACTTTGAAGTTCAGGTTATTCTGCCTTTTTGTTTTGTTTTGTTTTTGTCTCTGCAACAATAAGATTTGAGGTGGCTAGCGTGTTTCTAAAGGATGAAGTACGGATCAAAGGACTCAGGCCTTAGTATGTGCATGTTAATGGCTGAAGAATGAGGTTATGTGTGATGGTGGTTTTCTGCTAGCTGTTTCACCATAGCAGAAAGTTTTAAGGCTGCTTTTAAAGGGTTAAACTGTTTCCTTTGGAGAGGGAAACTGTTTCTGGTTTTCTCTTCTAACTTGCAGGGAAACCAGTGCAGACTGTTGTGGTCATCTGGTTAACCCATGTGGCACATTTTGTGCAATTGATGTGCTTGGCTGAATTTTGGAGGAACATACTCGAGCTTGGTTAAATAAGGACTGGTGTACAGGAATGGAATTATTTCTAGAGCCTTGAAACTTAGGTTAATTAAAAAAAAATTAAATTTAGAAGAGGCAGAAACCTAAATGCAGGCTGAAATAAAAATGGTGTTTCTACAGACACCAGTGAAAATTCATCATAATTTTCTGCCATCTGTTAAGAACTTAGTAACTGGATGAGATGGCTACAAATATCACCCACAAGTTTGCAGTCCAGAGATCTCATATCCATACCCTGTGCTGCAGTACTTCCTTTCTTTTAGGTAAGTAAGTCATCCCCCCACCCTTCTACCCCACAAAGAAAACCCCAAACTGTTGTGTGATCGTGGTGGTGATGACCTCCCCCAACTACAGGAGTACACAGTCAAGCTGTGAAGCTGGTGAGGACAAGACCACGATCCCCCTTCTGGGGTGGCACAACCTTTTCATCTCAGCCCTGGAGCTCCACACTGGTGCGTGACAAAGCTGTGGCAATGCCAGCTCTGTTTTTGGGTGATGTAAGGTGAAGGGAGGCTGTGTCTGGAACCAAGGGAGCTTCCATGGGCAGCTTCCACCTCTGCTCCCTGTACCTTGCTTTAATTTCTCTTTGCTACTGTGTAGATAACATAGCACATCCTTTCACCTTTCTCTGAGGGATTTGTGTTCCTGTAATCACTTGTCAGGCCTGGGGAGGTGTTCTGACTTTAGTATGGGTAAATGACTTAAATCTGGCCTGGTGAGGCCATGAGATGGCACTTCTGCCACAAGGTGGTGGCAGTGGACCCGGGAAGAGAGAGGGAGAACAGCCAACAGGGAGAAGAATGTTGGGAGAGTCCGGCAAAGTAAATTTCTTGATCATCCTTGGCCCCAGCACACAACCTTGCGTGTATACGTGCATGCAGGCAGATGGATTGCCTGCCAACTCTCTTCCTGTTTAAATTAATCACTGGTGACATGATCTGGGTCTTTGTTTCGGAGAAGTGCTTGAGTACAAGCTGGGACACACGCAGGCATTACCAAAGGCGTTTCCCTGAGGAGGAGGAGTAGTGCTGCTTCTGCACTAGCAGATCAGCAATAATGTGACTGTTCCAAAATGATTAAAATTCATGCATCATTTTATCCTACCCAAAGTAGGAAACTTCAGGAAATCCCTACGAAATGTAAGTAATTCATGCTGTTAAATACTAAACCTCCAAATACACTTTGATTTTCCCCTACAAGATTTCAGAGCTCTTTCATATTTTTTTACGTATCTATTAATTATTGGTTTGGGGCAACATTATGTACTCTGTGGTTTCTGCAATACCAGTACCCTGGTTGATCTGAAATGTTACCTTTGAGTAAATGGAAGGTGGCTGCACTGGTAGGTAGTTCATGGTGAGACCTGTTGTTACACTACCACTTGCCTGAAAGAGTCAGGTCATCTGTTTGGGTCAGAACTGTGTGGAGCCACTGTAACATCTGGGTTGACTCATCCATCACCCTCTTCCCCCAGCAGCTGATCTGCATGATTGCATTTGGAGTTCTGGTGAGAGTCACCGAACTGATGCCAAAAAAAGCCCCAAATGCTGTAGGGCCATGCCCATGACTGTGTGTTAAAATAGCCATGGCAGTGTGTTAGCCTGGTGTCAGTATTTGCAGGAGCACCCCCAAGGACTCAGGTGGGCCATGGCAGTCTGAAGAGGACGGCTGCAGTGACAGTGAAGGATGTGCCACCTCCCCTGTTAAGCAGCGCCCTCTCTCCCTACACTGTTGTGGGCATTGAAAAGCAGTTGTCCTGGCAGCTGATGTTATTGAAGACTCATACTGATTGAAAACCAGGATGATATCTTTCAGCACTTCTGCATTTTGATGGGATGAGGCTGTGAGTTAGCACAAGAGAAAGATTTGAGCCTAGGTGGTTTGCGACAAGAGCGAGGCATTACACAGTGCCAGCTGGGGTGGAGGTGTCCTGTCTTTCCCCTTTTGAAGAGCAGTTTGGTGTACACACATATGGCATCCTTGGTTCAAGGGGAACCAGTGAGAGGCAGGTCATGATGGCCTCCTTTCCCACCAAGGGTGGAAAAAATCAGGTAAAATGGGACAGGGAAGAGGGCAGGCAGCTTTGTCTGCATTAGCCTCTAGGAGGAACCAGGGAGATCCTCCAGCTCAGCTTTGCTGGAGGTGAGGCGATGGAACCAGTGGCTGACACGCCTCAGTATCTCCAGAGGAGATGATCAGTCATGGCTTATGTGCTGTATTTGTTTACATTAGTGATTGTCTTACTCTCACGTCCTGGTTTTTCTCTGCCCAAGGGAACAGTGTCATGAAGTCATCTATGGTGTCCACAATGGCATCAGCTAGTGCCTGTTCCACAGGTGTCTGACCTGCCAGACCTGTGGGAAGCAAGCGTATAAAGGGAAGTTAGAGACAGTGTCAGCAGGAACTTTTGATACCCCAGAGGTAAACTCTGAATATTTTCATAAAAATACCTGCTCTCTAAGACTTTTTTTTGATGCTAACAACATGGATTTGACTCTTTGCATCCAGGTGCAATCTCATCTACCTCTGCTTTTTTCCTTCTCCAGCTTCATACAGCCATCTGATGTAGTGAGTTGTACGTTCCATCACCTGAGCCCACAGCCTCAATATTATTTCTTTATCCTCTCTGCTTTCCACCGTCCCAGCACATTCAGTGAGAGTCAGCACAAATTCCTGTCCATTAATCTTTCCCCACCCAAACTTTCAATGTCCTTCTCCATCTCATGGTCTTTTCATTTTGGTCAATGCATTCTTCAAAGCATCTGTGAAAACCTGCTTCCCTTTCCCTCTACCCCACTCATTCAGCCCCACTGAGAACATTGAGGGCACGGGCTTAAGCTCTACCGGGGAGATTTAGGTTGGATATTAGAAAGAAGTTCTTCACAGAGAGAGTGATCAGGCATTGGAATGGCCTGTCCAGAGAGGTGGTGGATTCACCATCCCTGGAGGTTTTTAAGATGTGGCTGGATGTGGCTCTGAGCGCCATGATCTAGTAATCACAGTGGGGTTGGATCAAGGGTTGAACTTGATGATCTTGGAGGTCTCATCCAATGTAGTTGATTCTATGATTTTCATGACACCCCACTTGCTTTTGATTACTTCATTGTAATCAGGTACCTTAGCCAAACTTCATCTTGTTTACAGATCTGCTTTTCTCTCCTCTTGTCCTTTGGCTTTCCTGCAGTTCTCATAATGCTACTGCTTTTTTTCCCCTCTCACTTTCATTTCACAGATGTGCATTCATGCTTTCACCTCTGCAGGTTCAGGTCATCCTTCTTTTCCTCTCTGCTCTTTAAGCCTCACCTAGAAGTTTTGCTTTCTACAAACTGTACACCTTTCCTCTGCCAAGTCATCTCCCTTACTGAAACTCTGCTTTTGAAGGTGAGAAGTGTGCCTCTCCTATTTGGGAATCAAGTTCTTGGAACCTTCAGTTAAGAGTTGTTGATGATGGGCATCTAAAAATGCCATTTCTTAATTTTGAAGTATCAGTGACATCTATGCAAACTTAATGGCAGAACCAGCAAGTCTTGACTGTGATGTTGAAAATATATTTTTCCCTTTCTGTGCTTCTTTCCCCTTCTTTTTTCTGTTGTAGCTGACAGCATGACTAACCCTGAAAAGAGAACAGCATGGCCTGAGTGTGCTTCAGATCCCAAGCCCTTGTGTCCTAGGCAGGTCATCAGAAAAGGTGTCAGGGGAATGTAGAAGTCAGAACTTCAGACTTCATAAGCAGCACAGCTCCAGATCAGCCTCCCAACAGGAGATAGGGAGGAAGGAAGCATGGGTGGAAGGCAGGCTTTCTCATTGCTTTTCATTACTAGGTGGACTCTCATCATCCTCTTCTCTTGCAAGGACTAGATTGTATCAAGGCTGAAGGAAATTGGCCGGAACACGGTACTGCAGTCACGCTTGAAAATAAGTTGTGCTACTGCCTAGAGGAATAATGCTCTGAACTAGAAAATGTGAGATATTTTGAAAGGCAGGTTACATCCCTTTGCCCAGAGTGTAAAAAAAGTAGGATAGTACTTGCTTCCCAGCCCCCCTCTTCAATCTGCTGACATTCAGCATGCCATGATCACATCTGCCTTCAGCCAGACCAATTTTGCAGATGGTTTTGAATGAGAGCTTGCTGACCTAAAGGAAAGCTTGGCTACTCTCTTTGATTACTTGCATTACTAAGTCTAATATCACTTTATCTAACTGGTTGAGTACTTCCATAGCATGTAGGTATTTAAAGATGCAAGTGATGTCACCATCTGATCTAATCTTTCTGTCAGCTCAGAGCTGTTGCCTAAATCTGCTTCAGAGTGCTCTGCCTGCTGTGATAATCTCTAATGCTTCCAAAACCTCCTTCTCCTGGTCATCTCTCTGGTTAGCCTGGCAGCTCAAAGTTTAACTTCAGGGGAAACTGCCCTGAGAGCCTTAGGGAGGCCACAGGTATGCACTTTCTGTCATGCAGTGACAAGTGAATAAAGTTTATTGGCTGGAGAAGTCAGCCCAAACCCCAGGTGCTGTATCCAGAGTGGAAACTCAATCAGACATGGGAGGGATTATTTCTGAGTTTTTCTTTAGGCATGCACACTTACAGTGCAAATTCAGAGTTCAACCACATGACTTCAGCTCTGAAAGTCATAGCATTTCACACTGCAGGTTGTTACTTTGAACCTTTTCTTGATCTCGTTTTTTACTTTCTCCATGACATCTGAGTGACTCTAAACTGTGCCATACAGCACCCTAGTGGATGTGGCTCGCTCCATTTCTTCTTTCTCATCCTGGAACGGCAGAGAACGTAGCCTGAGATCTCATCAGGATTGCCACAGCAGTCCCAACTCAGTGAGCACAGTTTGTCACCAAATTATGGTAAGGAAGGCTGCTGGAAGTGGCCATGGCACCACACAGTGCTCCTCGGTGCTTTTTTGAGTGGCAGCTCTCATAGCATCCTGTAGTATACACTGCATTCCTGTGGTCAGCACTTGGCGCTGGCAAACTACAGATGCAACAAGGGGATGACAACTGTGAGCTGTTTGTACTTGGGAAAAGCACCAGTACCGTGATTGCCGTGCTGGTGTTGACTTCTGCATGGCTGGGCTTGCCAGGCTGTTGGTTTGTTTTTGTTTTTACTACTAGTGTATTTTTTTTTCCTGAGCATTAAAGGTGAGTTCAGAACAGAGAAAGAAAATAGACAAATATGTTACCTGATTCTCTGGCAAGGTATCTTGCTATTGCCAGGCTCTGGTGAATGATAACTCCATCTACTTCCAGAATAGGGAGTTTGCCAAATGGGATAGCTTGGAGGAGAAATTAAAAAAAAAAAACAAAAGAAAGAAAAAAATCAACCAAAAGTTAAATCATAGCCATTAACAGTGGGAGTCTGTGACAACTGCACTTTTACCACTCGGAGGATATGCATTGTTATAGCACTTAACAGTTTCACGGTGTTTCTGTGGGGAAATGCATGGACTGAAAATAAAAAGTAAGGGGTAAGGATGTAACGAGATTGCAGTGTATGAGGGCAACTATAGCAAAGAAACCAGGCATTGCATTTCCTGTTCCCTAGCCTTGTGCTGAAGAGGCTGAATATGTGCCTGTACTTCCAGAATTCTTTAGGTAAGGAAATTTTTCAGAGGAATATTAGTTTTTCCTTCTCTCCCCTGCTTTCCCCCCACCCCCAGGAGAGTGACTGCCAAGTTTAAGTACAGTAATACTGGAAATTTTGTAGAGCAGGATCCAGCCAGGAGCATGAAGTAAGAGATTGGGTAAAGACTACGAGGTGCTTTTTCATTTACACTTGTTTTAAATCCAGAAGCAGTGATTGAGGGAAGCATCTGCATTTCTGAACTGACATTGTGATGAGACATTTCATTTGGCAGTCATCACTGAGACAAATATATCTTTCACACTGAACTGCAAATGCTAAGAAGGTAGTCAAATTTACTTGACTTGGCTTGCAGTCAAAAAAATTTCCGTCAGTTGTGGGGAAGAAGCCTCCAGACTTGAAGGACAGGGAAAGAAAAACTAAGCAGGTGTCAGGGATATCTGTGAGACAGTTTGAGATAAGAAATAAATCTTATTTTTCACTTAGTAAATTGGTAGTTATGTGAAAACTTGGAATTCTGTTCTGCTATCTTTTGGAGGAACTGCTGGCATGATATCAAATGGGGCTGGAACCTTGGAGCAAAGATTAATCTGCAAAAAATGGTTGTGTTTAGGGCAGTGAGAATCTGCTTGTAGGAACCTGGTGCTGTTCACCAGAGGAACTGTAAATCTCTGCATCTCAAAGGATGCTATTTTATAAATTCCAAGTCTGTGACTGCAAGCGCTGATCATAGCTAAATGGTTTGTACCTGATTTTCATCTGGATTGCACTTGATGTAAATAAGATCTATATATCACCCTAAGAATTCCTTGTGATGTAAAAAGGTGGTAGTGAAAAAGTGAAAACACTTATTGGAAACATAAAAGGTGCTTTCGAACCCATGAGAATTGCCTTTACGGGACAGCTGGAATGACACCTCCATTCCGTGAGGATTTTTAGTTCTTAGTGAAAGGGGCAAAATAATGAAGCCTCATGCATTAGTAACTGTTTATCAAGGCAACTTCATAAATGATGAACACTGCCACGTGGCTCTGTGGTTTAGCAAGCAGTAGGTGAATCACATTAGGTACAGGATCTTAGATGTTAAATCCATATCTGCAAAATTAATTTGGCAGTTGCACAAGACACACAGGACTTCTCTGTGCTTTTTTTTTTGCTCATGATACCCTTTTTTTTTCTTACGTTCAGCACACTGGGAAGTCAGTATAAATTTTTATGCTGATGACTAGCAGAAGCAAGAGAGCTCAATGAGCATTAGCTGCTGCCCCGGAGGGAGAAAGATTGCTCTGCTAGCTGTTATTGAAACAACAATAACCTACTTGGATAGCAGGCTTTCATATGTTTATTATCTGGAGTGCAACAAGATCCTGGCAAGTCTGTGTTTTGTTTCATTGAGAATCTAAAGAGGAAAGGATGCAGCTCGTAACGTTTAACTGAAAAGCTCTCTGGCTGTGAAAATGAGAAGAGCCTTGGTGCTGTGCTGTGGATTAATCGTGCAGAGTGCCCTGAGCATCACTGCCTCCAAAGCAAGAGCTGTGCAATAGTGTTTGCTTTTGCAGGATACCAGCGCATCTTTCAGGCAGGCACAAGTAGAAGGGATGAGAGTAGAAGGGATGTGACCCCTGGATGTGCCAGTGTGGGGGCCACCATCAGATCCCCCCTAGACCACATAGGGCTGTACACTAATGCCTGGTAACAGGTAACTGCACAAGTGCAGCCAACTCAGGAGCAATATCAGCCACCCCTGAAGGAGTTAACCAGGCTGTTTTGGAGGCCCCAGGAGGAGTGCCATGGGACTGATGCAGTTTTGGCCAGGTCAGTATGACTAAGCCAGTCTCTGTAGCAATAACTGTCAAAACACGCTGGTTGCTGCTCAGGTTGGGAAACGGTGATTGCTTCATCTAGAAACCAAACAGACCATTTTCTGCTGTGTTTACATACAGGGGAAGTCTAAAAGTCCTGGCTTTGACTGATGTTTCACTTCGTGGGTCAGTACAAGAAGAAAGGTTTCTATGGATATCTTTTTTTTTTTTTTACTTTTTTTTTTTAAGAACCTCTTGATTACAGGGGAGGCATCTTTCTGACATTTGTGGTGTCAAAATGAGTTAGATGGTAGTCATCTCTCGTATTTCTGTTTCTCAGGGATCTGCTCATTTCTGAATTCAAGGGAATTACTATTCATTCCTTGGAAACATGAGTAATGCCTACAAAGGTCTTCCTCCTCAGTGCTGAGCTATTTTCATTAAGACCTGGTTATTCTTCCCTGAAAAAGAAACTGAGTTTACAAATAAAAATGTACAAAGATAGCTTTGTTTTGTGTACGTACACTTTCCTGGCGCATAATGCAATTGTAAAATTAATAAATGAGAGCAGATTTTGTTGCACATTGTCCCCCAAGCCTTAAATGTCCAAAAGGATTTATGCTTTGATTCATAATGAGACTTAGGGGGGGGATTGTTAGGAGGCAGCATATCTATTGCCATAGCAGATATTCCTTCCTTTCTTGTGTGTTCAAAATGCTATTTCATTTTTTCTTATGAAGAACAGGGAAAAAAATTGTGATTTGAAAATAAACAGATTTTTTTTTCTTGCTGATAGAGTGTAGGTATATGATTGACACTGACTTTTGTTGATTATTGAGTTAATAAGCTGTAAATGAGTGCAATTCTGAGAGGTCTGAAGAAAGTATCCTTGTGATTTTTTTCATTTTAAAAATCTGTTGTTTCTTCTTGGGTGCAGGGTATGCTGTTCTTGCACACCAGAAAGTACAGCAGATATTCAGGCTGATTTACAGCTGAAGAAAAAAACAGAGACAAGTCAAGGGGCAGAAAATATTTATAGTACATCTCCTCCATATGCGAGTAGATACAATGGCTTATAAAGTTTCATTTTCAGTCTGGAAAAATGTAAGGAATAAAACCCCAACTTTGCATTTGAAACGTTATTGTCCAACATTCCAACATTCATGGAATGGCCAAAATTTTTAGGAACCTGCAGTGAAGTATCTTTTTGCTTTTGTAACTTAAAAGAATAACTTCCTATATTGATAAATTCATAGCAAACCCAAGTGATTTTATATATATATATGTGTGTGTGTGTGTGTGTGTGTGTGTTTGACTGTTGTGGGCAGGAATGCATTCCCTGTGAAAATTGTAATCTTCCTTTTCCAACTGGAGAAGGAGGTGGATTTGTGTCACACAGTTCATCCTAAGGAAGAATGCAAAGATCCTTCACACCGGATGGACACAGTTCAATTGTAGGAGGCAAGGTCGGGGTTTGACAAATGATCTCAGTGTGGCCTCCAGACACCTTACCTGTGTCAAAAACCACATCCAGGCCATATTCTCAGGGGCTCCAAACTACAGCAGAAACCTGTCTGTACATGGATTTAAGCAGTGTTACCCTTAGACTCATGGACGTGGGTTTCTGTGCCTTGCTTTGAGCCTTCTGTGGTGCTTTTGGCCCTACTCTGCTCATTGACATTATGTGTTTGAGGAGCCTTGGGGTTGCCCAAATTGCTTGTGTGTATAAACATTGTACTAGACCTGCCAAATTTCTCGTGATTTTGGTGAAAGGCGTGGTTGGTGCAACTCCAGATAAGCAGAGGAGGTAGGTTGATTCCTTCCAGGCTCCTACATTGCTTGAGGATGGGAAAAGCTGGTGTGGGAGAGGGATCTCACTGGGGTAGAATCTGTGTCATGGGGGCACATCGTGAAATAACATGTATTGAGGAGCAATCATAAATGAACAGCTAAGCCAACATAGTGCAGACTGGAAGGATGTGCGTGTCACTTTGCTGATTTTTCTTTGACTCTGATCAGTTTAGGGGGCTGTTTAGTACTTACGTCAGTTTATACCCTTGTGTATCCATACAGATGTCCTTTCCCTGTTTTTCAAAACAATGTTGTCTTATAATGTTTCCAACTCCCACTTGAGCAAATAAATTTTAAGGAAAACCAGAAAAACCTATTGCTGTCGTCATACAAACAGCGTCATTTCTCAGGCATGCACAAAATATGGCCTTGCCCTTTTAGTTCCCGCTTACTTTGTTGCTCATCTGAAGTAGAAAGCGCTATAAATGCTTGTGTTGGTTTCCAAATTTACATTGAAAACTCACTGAAAAGAGGAATACAGTTTTAAAAAACATCCTGTTTAAATGATTAAACCTGCAGTCTTCTTTAAATTGAGCTTTTATCAGCAAATTCTTGCTTTTCATATTATGTTGGTTATTTATTGGGTTTTTTGCATTGCATTCTGGAATGAAATCTGCACAGTCTTTACACTCAGCCTCTGTCAAGATTTTCTTCATGAGGAGGGTAAAGTCATCACACTGATTTGCAGTCTCTCTTCTTGTTTGAGGAAAGACTCACTGAAGTATCTGTGCTGTATTTAGAAATTGGATGAATTCTTTTCTATACTACTTTAATTTTGATTGGCTTTTAGGACTAGAACTGTGGTGTTTATATGTGTCTCTGCTGGATGCTAAGTTGAGGAGGTGAGGCTTCATGTGTGTTACAAGCAAGGGCATCTGTTTAATTTGTCTCTGTCCCATAAAGTCCCTAAGGATTGTGATAACAGTCCCCATCCTGGCATGCCTATAGGTTCTCACTAGTGTTCAGGCCTTCGTTTTGAACACACAAGCTCTTCACTCATCCTCCTGGGCACTACCCAGTGGATGGTGCTTGTGTGGGACTGTTCCTCTGTCAAGGGCAGGGAGGGGACACACAACACAGAGCTGAGCAGTTTTGTCAAAGTCTGGTATTTGGGCTGGTTGGCTGCTGGTGCCATGCTGTGCTTCTCACTGCTGTTCTCCCCTACGCAGATAGTTTTTAATTTTCTCCTTCCCTTAGCTCTTTCTTCCTTTTCCACTCAACTTCTTCATTATTATTCTTCTCTTTATTTCTGTTCTGTCCTTCTCACGTTTATACTGACTCACCTCAGCTTTGCTCCCAGTCATGAGTTCAGGTTTCCCCATTTACCCTGAGCTGACCTGCTCTTCCCTGTGACTTGTCCTGCCCACCTTGTAATCATCTATGGCATTGATTGCAAAGCAGCCTGTGTTTAAGCACTTGATTATTGCTCAGAAGCTGAATAATTAATAGTTTTGCAATCAAGCAGCTTACATTGGTTCATTAATAAGGCAGCTGGATTGGTCAAATATGGGGGGAAATAAAAGTCACAGTCATACTGCTTTACAAATATATCTGTGTCAAAATAAGTTCTCCTTTGCCTTGAAAACTAACCATAACAATTTCTCCTTTCCATTCATCTTTAAATTGGGTCATGAGAAACAAATAATGAGACATTTAGCATCTTCTAATAAGAAATGCATGAATGATGTATCTTTTGTAAGGCTGGCAGAGCAGCAAGACCCTTGGGAAGTGGTTGGCCTGGAGCTGGGGATATCCAGAATCTGTTTCTTTTAGAAAGGCATGACCAGCAGGATGCTTTGGTTTAACCTCAGCCTAGGTTTAGTGCTGTAGCTATTACAACTCATATTCTCCTTGCAAGTGCTTGCTAAGCCCTACTTTTTACCCAGAGATAGCCATTTGCACATCTTAGCTAAGGGTACATAGCAGCAAGTCACTAAGCATACAGAACAACTATTCCCCTGAGGAATTCTTGCCTGCAGTTAGGTGCTTCTCAAGATTTATCTGTTATCTTGGAAGTATTTTCAATGCAATTAGTCTGTCAAGTTTCCCAAGGACCTTTCAAGCACCATTGTACACCTCCTAAACAGTTTATGGGCTGTTTACAGCCATCACTGTGATTAAAGCATCCTTTGCTATGTTGATAAAGTCTGTGTTATTGCCATTGCTTCAAATTCCCTGATGGAGCCACAGATCAAAAGCTGTTACTACCTGCTAGCCCAATATCTCAAGGCAATGATAACTGTATGTTACAGTGGATTTTCTACTGTGTCATGATTTTTGTCAGAGCAATAATGCTTTTTGTGAGGAGCCCATTATGTGGAAATACTGATCTTGAATGAGTCTATTACAGATCTTGAATTGACTACCCTTTAAATGGTGGCATGGTCAAGTCAAAGTCTGTTCAAAAGGAAATGTAAAGCATGAGTTTGCTTACTTGTTTAAATAATTATTGACTTATATAGAGTGCAGGGTTATGGAAAGCTGCTACTTGATATTTGTCTGGGTTTTTTTTAATTCTGCGCTAAAGCTGATCAATACTAATACTTATCCACTGATTTGCTTAAGAGTGTTTATAGTATAAACTATAAACTTGCCTGAAATTAGCAACTGGAAATTTTGGCAAAGATGATCTTATTAGAGTCGGAAGGGAAAAAAATATATGTTGAGTTATAGACATTTTAATTTCAGATTGTATAAGCCAAGTAACATAACTTCTTATGTTATAATATGCCTTCCTTTTCTACAGGAAAAAAGCACCACTTAGGTGTAAACAAATTCAAGTGGGATGGTATTTCCAGGAGGGAGGACTTATTTATTTACCTGAAGGTACGTTAAGACTACAGCTTACTGGTGGAAGCCACATGAAAAATGCCAAAACAAACAACAAACCCCACCACACTCTTCAGTTCAGGTCAAAAATTAAACCTGCATCAGCCACAAGTCCTCCTTCTAAATGGCCTTTCTGAACATTAATCTCAATGCACAAATTTTCCCATCAATTTTACTAAACTCTTTTCTTCAGAGTAACGATGATAGTTTCTAGTTTATGTGGTATGGTGATTTGGCTGGGTTGGTATTTGTTTGCAAAACCCTACTTTAATTTTGTGAGAACTGCTGAAGCAAACCTGTCCTCTCAGATCTCAGCCAGAGACCTGACTCCTTGTCCTCTTAGACAAACTTGAATTCTTCAATTTGTTTCTTAGTCGCTCAAGAAACCTGAAGTGCTCTTCTTGTCCTAACTTCTTCCTTAAGTATTTTTCTTTAATCTTGACTGATCATACTTGAGGCTTTTAAAAAGAAAGACATCAGGTTGTATGGCAAATGCTGCACAACCTAGTCCCTAGCCAGTAGGCAACCATTTCTTGTGCTGAGTCAGAGCCTGCAAAGTTAGGCTTTAGGTATCTTGGGGCAGTCTGGGGCCCTGGGTATTGGTCTTGCTGAAAAGTGTAACGCTGTTTACTCCAAAGGCCCGTTGCTACCTTTAATTCAGGAGTTTTGCTGAATGATTTGCCTGTGGGAGAATACTTTGTCTGGAAATGCCATGAGTAACTATGAGAATTACTATTGCTTCAAAAAGGAGGAGGTAGCTATCAGTTACATGATCTCCAGACAATTTCCTTAGCAGCATTACATTTTTATGCATGCAAGCAACCTTTACTCTTGTTCTAGTTGGCAGAGGTCTTAATTGCATGTTGTCTGTAATGCCGATGTCACCGGTGGCAGAGGGCACCATTCCATTGGTGCTTGAGCTAGGATTTAGGGAGCCTTCCAGAGCAGGAGTTTAGTATCCTGGCATAAGATGTAGTAGCACTTATAGATGTGCATCCATTTATTTCTTTGTAGGTTTATGTTTTCATGGTCAATTAGCATAATACATTCCAGTTCCCATCCTCTGACTAACTGGGTTTCTGCAGAAGTCTGAAATTCAAAGAACTCTTAGGCCAGAATAAATTTTACACAGCTGATTTCACAAATCTGAGAGCAGCAGCCCCCACATTTTGCTAAACTTCTTATCTCCTTTGGAATTTCTTCCAGGGATCAGTCATAGAGGCTGCTGTGAAAGGCCATTATGCAGAGAAGATGAAAAGTCTTAATTAACCCTTGGTAAACCTGCTAGCAAATTTTTGCATCACAGAAAGGGAAACAAAGACAATCCAAGGTCCAATAACTTAACCACCATTTGTTAATGCAGCAGATACAGCTACAAACTGTATGGTTTAGGATTTTTAGGGTGCCTCTGCTCCCAGTGTTTTGGTGGTAATGGTGCTGTAAGCAGTAGTAAGCATAGCAGTAAGCACTGTAGTGAACGAGTACTGTACACATAAAGCTTCACTTCATGATGTGAATACTGAAGAAAAGCATGGCAAGAATTTTCCTGCATTGTTTCTTGCACTGGCTCAGACACAGGATACATCAGCAACATTTAAAGAGAGGTGCAATGCTTTTACCTTGTCTGATAGACCTGCTGTTAGAACTTCTTGTCCTAGGATATAAACGCCTCTGTAGCCTTTAATTGACTAATTATGCTTTGTCTTTTTAATTTGTTTTACTTAAAAATAAGTATGCAAGACTCTACGTAAAATTAAACTTAACTTATATTCTCAACTTTGTTTCAGGACATTAGTGAGTGTGCACACATGTGAATATGTATGAAAGACCTATGCAGAGCTTTCCTCAGGTCGTCTGAATTCTTAATCTCACCTTTAGTTTCCACCCTGCCTCCCTGAGAATTGTAGCGGGAGAGAAATAAGCTATACCACATGTCAGCAGGCTTAAGCTCTTACAAAGGAAAGGTTTCCAAAGTCAGTCATCCCTAACTGAAAACATTACATTTCCACTGCTTTATTCTCTGTGGGTAGTTTGCCAGTGTCTTCTAGGTTTGAGCACCACAGAAGGGTTCAGCTGCCACTTGGAGTGGTGCTTGAGTATTTGTCATTCAAGTCACTGCAAACAGGAGAAAACAAACTTAACTGCATCCTATAAGCATTTGATAGCCTGCTGGCTGGGCTTATTAAATGGTGGGAAACGCTATCAACAAACATCGTTTAATGAATAGAAATTACCTTGTGCATTACCTTGTGCCAAACTGAAGGCATGATCCTTCATTCTGGATGAGAAAAATCATAGCCCATGTAGTAGAACACAGGCTTAATCCATGACATGAAAACACAGATTTCTCTGATTTCGCACTCTCAGTCTTCAAACTCAAGGTCTCTTTCATTTGAACTAAGTCTAATTTAATAAACAGAAATTACAAATACCTTTAATGGCTGAAAACGGATTATTTTAACTAAAAAACATTAAATGGATGGGGTACAATTGTCTGCAGGGTATCTGAGGCTGGTAGGGCTTGTTCTTAGTAACAATTATTTTCTAGTGTTTCTTTTATTCCTTTTGGTTTTTAACTTTGCTGTATCAACTAATTTATTGTGTTTTCTCTCATCACTTTCCCTCTCTGAAAACCTTTCTGGTTACAAAGGAGTGTCCTTTCTGTCACTTCTTTCCAATTTGGCTTTCTAAAACCCAGTGTAGAGGCTGAGGTGTGGTCCTTGAGACCACATTCTCCAAAGAAGCTGAGAAGACCAGCACTCATTTAGCTATCCTTAGGTAGACAAAATCTGTACTGAATATACTGAATATAGGAGTAGAAGCCCAGCTGGATGACAGCAGGTAAGTCATTTTGGATTGTCTGAAGGTTTGGATCCAGACTTCTGCAAGAGCATCAGGAATGGCATTTTTGCCTATCTCACCATAAAATTCCCATAGGCTTAAATAAAACCAGAAAGTAGCTGTATTTCTGCTCATGAAACATACAGATGCCTCTTAAATTGCTTTGCTTTTTGACAGCATTTCTAGTGGAGCTTTGGCTGTAAGAACCCGTGCCACTTACTTGGTTTGATTTTGGGCCAGTCTGCTGCTTCTATTCTGTGGTCTTCATACTTCTTGCCCGAGTAGGCAAACAGGTAGCGGCTGATTTCTGCTCGCCCTCGCAGGTTGAAGTAGGTCAGCTTGTACTGCGGCATGCTGGCTGCCTGGGAGGGGGGACACCGAGTGGCTTTAGACAGGAGTAACTCAACTCCTTTTTGCAGAAGCACACCCTGCGCTTGTTTCCGAAAGGCATTGCTTGTACAACGTAAAGGAAATATTACACCAAGCCACGGTGTGTTGTGCTTTGCAATCATTGCATTACCCGCACCTTTTTGTTCTGCGCTTCTCACGCACAGCACGCAGATGTGCACAGTGACAGCTGAACCTGCAGTTCCTCCTTATTCCTCTCTAGAGAGATGGCTTGATTTTTTTACAGACATATTAGGAATTTTTAGTTTTTGTTTATTTTTCTTGTGACTCCAAACTGAGGCCATTTTTATAAAGTTTGGTTGTATTTTTTTTTTCCAGAGTGCAAATCTAAAATCATATACTATAGCAGAAAATAGTTGCTGTCTTGAGCAGCAACGTTGTTCAAGCATGCTCAGCCCCTATTGCTTATGGAGACCTTCATCCAAGACCAAATTATGAGAACTGATAAACTGTTGTGTTTTTTCCTCATTAATTAGTATTATAGTTGTGTAGGCAGTTGACCAAAATTATTTTAGATGGAAATTTTGCTATGGAAACCAGTCTACAGTGTTATTTTGAGTGAATCGTCACCGAATTTTCAGTTTCTTGTACAGAAGCCAAGAGAAAACTTGAAATTACTTTGTTAGGTTTTCATGAGGTTTGTTGTTTTTTTTTTTTTTTTACTTCAGTTCTAGTTAGACTGTTACTTCATGTAACAGAAAGGTTCTATTTGTTTTTAAGTGTAACAGGCAGCAAAAGAAAGTATCTGGGAGTTTGATTGTACAACAAGAACGGTTCAGGAAAGGTAAACATATATAGCTGATTTTAAATCAAAAGTAAGTGTTTAAATTCTGCACACACTTTATTGAGAGAGATCTATGAGCTCAGCTGAGGTTTAAATGTGCTGGCTAAAGGATAGTAAAACAACCATCTGCCTCCTCACCCAAAGCAAAAACCTTTCTCCTTTTGGCTTTAAAGTAGCCTTTGCATGTCATTTACCATTCTTTTATATCCATCAGAGTGTTAGTAAGACAGCATGCAACACAGATAATCTGCACTAGGACAGGAAGGGAACTCTTCTTTTTTAATGAGTGAGTGCTACTGTATAACCTTGCAACAGAAACAACCCTCTGTTTAGTCATAGCCCTTGAAAACACATGCTTGAAGGCAGATGTATCATCAGCTTTGGCTTTAGAAGGAAAATCTCCTTGCTCAGAAATAGAAAGCCTGCCTTTAACTCACATTGAAAAGAACAAATTACTTTTGCCACTTGCTCCTCAAAAAGTCAAAACACCTACTTTCTGTCCTAAGAGTAACAAAGGCAAAAAACCCCACAAAAAACATATGTCATACCAAATGAGCTCACTTAGAGGCTACTTCACTTACTGTGAAAGTTGTCTGTTCCCCTACTGCACACACCAGACTTGGAAGAGCTTATTAGTAAAAGGAGACTTTTCACATGTGATGGCCCAGTAGAGAAGCAGGAACAGAGACAGAGAATTGCTAGTGGAGATATCTACAAGTGCTTCAAAACAAAGACACCACTGTAATTACTGTTTTCTAAGTCAAGTGTTTTCCTTTGCACCGTATAAAACAGGGACGCTGCAGACAAAATGAGTTGCATGGTTTAGGTAAGGGGCAGAAGTATATTTTCAAATTTTATGCCCAGATTAATTACTTTTTATGCTTTATTGTGCTTATATAACATTATACTATTTTTATGCAGGATGAATTTGGATTATACGTTTACAAAGTCAAAGTAAGAACAGAGAATGCGATTGTTGGGGTTTTTTTCTTCCCATTTGTCCCCGCTTCTGATTTGATGTTGTCATTTGAGAGCAAGGAATGGCATTTTTAAAAGAGGATGTGTTATCTGGATGAGTTTCAAATTAGACATCACAGTGATTTGGCAGTAAAAGGGAAAAAAAGCCCACTTGATTATTTTCAGGTTTTCTAGAGGCAAGCAACTACTGCTGATTCAGTCTACTACTGCTGATTTGCAGATGACACAACCTTTAACATACAAAATCCAGTGTCTGCTTCCCTTCTTTAGGTGTGCCCACAGAGCTTTTTTCATAAACATTCATAGCAGTTCCAGTGCCCTGCACTTATTACACCACTCACACATGGTTCCAGTATCTTGGCTACCTCTGACCCACTTAGCCCTGTGTTAGCAAAACGTTGTTGGCAGCTGTAAGGCTTTTCAGAGCACAAGAATCATAGATTTTAAGGTCCAGCCATGAGGAAGGGAGTAGACAGCTGTATATAGAGCGGGCTAGAGATGACTGAGGCCTAAGATTTCTGTAGGTGAGTGTGTTGAAAGAGTCTAATGCTTGCTGTGGGAGAACTTTGTATACAAAGACTTGTCTAATCAGGAGTAGTGAGATGATGTAAAGAAACTAGGAATTTTGGCCGAAGATCAGGAAGTCTCTCTGGCTGTTATACTAGATTGTAGAATATTCTGGTCTGTCAAGGAAGCAGTGGAAACTATTGTTTGAATTGTCTAAAGCAAAGCTAAACAAATTTCTAATGAACACACCGTAAGGAGTAATCAAATATTTGTAGTGGTGATGCACTTTGAGGATTATAAATTTTTTTCCATCCATGAACCAAAAAAAAACCCAAAACAAAACCAACCCTACAAAGAGTTTGCTAAAAATACTTGACATTTTAAAAGCCTTTATAGCTTTATTGTAAGCATGTTTTTGTAAATGTTTGTAGGTTTTATTTTTTATTTGTATTTATTATGAAATGTCAGGAGTGGTGCTTCCTAAACAATGACAGATAAGTTTCTAAATGAAAGAAATGGTTGTATTCAGAATAGCTTTTTACCAAACATACAAAGTAAGTTGGTTTTGGATTTTTTCCCTTTTCCTCCTTTACCTCATTTACTCAGTGTGTTTTGTAAAGGAGTGGATCATGAACAAATTAAAACCATTCAAAGAACAATCAGAATTACTGACTCATTGAAAAATATAATTTCCAAAGGAAAAGGGTCTATTTGGGGTCTTTGAGTTCATGCTTTGGGGGTTGAGGTTTGTTTGTTTGGGGTCTTTTGGTTTTGGGGTTTTTTTTGGCAGGGGGAAGCAAGAAAATCTTTAAAACTATTCAAATTTATTTCTCTTTTTTTAGGCTAGTCATGGCTTAAAAATACTGGAAGATGTTGGTGATGGGTGGACCTCAGTGCCCAGACTTGCAGGCATTTATCCACCTGCTTAGTGCTATTAAATCTCTTCAGGTGAGTTTGTTGCAAAGCCAAGTGTGTATAAATGCAGAAGGGGGCTGATTTACCTTTCACCAATAAACCTGCCATCTAAGCAGTGTTTCTTCACTTTCTAGCTGGTGAATGCACAGCTCAGACACCCCTGTACACCTGCCCTGCCCTCCACTGACAGCACTGCAGTCCCAGTTTCATCGCATACAGCTTTCAAAGCTGTGAACCCAACTGGTTTAAATTTACTATTAAATTAGCTTTAATACTTTAAAGTTGTTGACCCGCTTAGCTGATTTTCTAGCTTTCCTCTGTGACTTTCTGAAAGCCAGCTTAACTGGCTTTAACATACCTTTAAACAGAAGATTAGTGGATCTCATGATTCAATTCAACTGTTGGAGCCACTTAGTGACAAAATCAAATGGGAAGTCTGAGAGAAGGTCAAATATGTGTAAAAGGTGGCATCCTCTGTGTTACTCATGAGTCAAATTTCAGGGTGGAGTTACAAGTGTCTAAGACACCTCAGGACAGATTTCAAATAATTTAAAACTGATCGTGGCTTTATGGAGATACTGTATTACCCAATGAACTTGAGATGCTTTTATTCCAGTTGAAGCAGGACTGAACAATCAATTTTGAAAACTTCAAGCAAGATCAGAGTGTAAAAGCAGAGCTCAGGAAGGAATCAGTGTCATTCTCTGAGAAGTAAAATGCTGAGTTCCGGATAACATTAGTAGAGAAGAGGAAAAATGCTGGCAGAATGAAAACTGCTCAGGAGGAGTTTCAGGTGCATGCCCAGTGCAACCCAGCACAGGCTGCCTCTGCTATCCAGAATTTGATTCTGCATGCCCAGCCTGAGCTGTTGGCTTATAAGATTATGCACTGAAACTCTGCTGGACTTTATAAAGGAGCAGTGTTTCATCTCTGTTCTGGAAAATTCAGCCCTCAAGGTAACACAAGGAAATGTCCTTCAGGCTCATGAAAGACACCAAAACATGAATGCAGATTCTCAGTATGTGAATTCAGAAAAAAAATTGAAAAAAAAAAAAAAAGCCAAAACAAAACAAAAAGGAGCACTTAATTACGTTTTCTTGTATAAGGTTATTAGTATTTGAGGTGTCAAGCCAGGAGAGAATTTTCCCTGAGCTGGGGCCAGAGGGAGAGAAACCAGCTAAGCTGAGCTCTGTGTTCACATACACCTAAAGTCTGACAAAGAGTCTGTGGTGACAACGTCCCCCTTAATTGTACTTTGCACTGCAAGAAATTAAAGGTTTTCATGCCTTAAGGTTTCATCATTGTTAGAGGATGTAAAAAAGCCCAGCTGTTTCCCTTCAGCAATTAAGACCAGCAGGGTTGGGTTAAGGTTCATCTGGGCACTTCTAAAAATGTGGACTCTAACTATCTGCCTGGAAGAGATGATGCATTGCTCTGTATTTATATTTATTTAACATGAGGGCTCTTCATTAATTTAGGAGTCACTGATGGAAAGCACTGCACTTAGTACCTGACACAATGGTGCCCTGGCAGTGGGCCTGCCAAAAAGGAGAAGCTGGAAGTTTCAGTTGCCAAGTGTCATCGTCCTCTCTTGAATTGCAACTAGACCATGACGATGACTGAGGAGGGATGACTCAGGCAAAGGATACCTTTATTTTATTGTAAGATTATTTTATTGTTTATTTAATTGTAAGATTAAGCTGTTACATCAATTTGAATTGTTTGAGTTGCTGGAACTGATTATATATTCCATTTTCATTATTTTATAGG